TTGGTCATACCTGGTCTTGGTTCATTATCATCAAATAGCCTGGTATTAGTTCCCACAGTGTAGCTGGGAGGGAGTGAGTAGTTTTGCATAAAGTGCAGGGAATCATGGGGTGGGGAGGGGCCTTATGTGCTCTCCATTGCTGCTCTCAGCAGGCCAGATGGGTATGGACTGAAGCCTCTGTGGGCAGTGAGATGAATGTAAGGCATTCGTGCTTTTGACAAAGAACAGCACAGTCAAAGATAAAGAAATGTTGAGCTGGAGAAAATGCTCTTAGTTTAAATGAAGAAAAGCCCAGCTAAGATAATGCAGCGGTGTTTGTTTGCATAACAAGCAGCTGGAGGAAAGATCAACAAAAGTTAGGGAGGTGTGTGTGTGTGTGTGTGTGTGTGTGTGTGTGTGTGTGTAGAGGTAAGGATCAAGTATAGCTAAGTTCATGGAGGAAACACAGCACCCTGGCAGAGGACTTCAGGCAGAGGTCATGATGAGAAGCAGATGCTTTTGCTGGGCCGTCCTCTGATAATTCCATTAACACACACATTATTTTTGTATGTGAAGGGTGGTTTCATTTTCAGGCTCTTCAGACTGTAAGCTTCAGCCCTGATCATGAACCCAAAGTCAGAATGAGTGGCAATGGTGTCCAAATTGAGTGGAACACTGCTCAATTATTGTGATTGCTTTCGATGGTCCCAAACAATTGTGCCATGGTAATGTGTATTACACACACACACACACACACACACACACACACACACACACACTTCCCACTAGCTCTATTACAACAAACAAAAAGGAAGTTGAAAACAAATGATGTTAATTTTTCTGACATAGCAGTTTAGAAGAAAGCAAGATCCAAAACAGATCTCTGGATTGGGAATCCTTTTGTTCTCTACCTCTGCTAGAGTCATGGCACCCGAGGTTGGCTACTGGGTCCACCAGGCAGCCTGTACACTATGTCTGTTGAGATGGGTGTCTTTTTGTTCTTCTCTCTGTCTCTCTGTCTCTCTCTGTCTCTGTCTCTCTCTCTCTGTATGTGAAGATGGTACTTCTTGATTTGGTGAGTTAGGACAAGATGTGATGAGAGTATCCATTGTTATCCTCTTAGCAATGTAAATTAGCTCAAACCTGGGGCCTGTCCACTAGGCTTGTTCAACAGCAGACATCACTTGGGATTTGCTGAAGGAAGATGTGTAATTAATGAAGTAGAAGAGGCTGTGATGGTTGAAGTCAATCATGAAAAGATGGTGTTTGAGAGATGAAATCATGCACTCTGGGGTACCAGCAGAAAGGAGAAAGCTTCAGTGAGGCTCTCCAGTATCCAGATACTGGACAGGGCTCAGAGGGAAAACCCCTCAGTCTGTGACTTTGGAGAAGATGCTGTAGCCCCAGAGGGTCAGATGCCACAAACTGACCTTGAGTAGAACATGAGTTTGTAAAATCTGCCAGGGCTCTGAATGAGCAGTCTTGGTCTAAATAAAGACATGGTATGGATGAATATGTATGAAATTGTTCAGTTAGGGGATAGTCTCCCTTCTGAATCAACAGACAAGAATATAACATTTCCCACTGTTTTTGTGAAAATTCCCAAAACAAGATCGATTACAAAGCCACTGCTCCCACATTGCCAATCCATGGTTTCTGAGCCATGAAATGAAAAAAGCCTTCCTCTGTGAATCCCAATTGTGCCACTGTTTCTTATGTTGGTAAATATAACCCCCCATGGATAGAGCAGCTTGGAGCCAAAAGTTACTTGCAGTCCTAAACCCTCGATCCTCTCTTTCCTCCTTCAGGCATTTAGTGTGATTGCCTTTTAATGTAATGAAGTTTTCAATTGCAATCTTGCCTTTCTCGGTCAAAGCAGTGGCCGAAGCCAGTGTCTCTCTCAAGAGGCTGAAGGTATAACTAACACTGGGTGAGTAGGGAAGAGAGCTCACTTCTGGGGGGCTGGGGATGCTTGCAAGGGGGATGCTGTTGAGGTCTTTGGAGGGCTGGGTTAGGCCTGTGGTTGCGTGACCATGAAGCAGGAATGAATAGTTAGTGCGCGAGGGGAGAATGAGCGGGGAAGGTTTTGAGGAGGTCTGACCTGGAGGGAAAATAAGATAGTCTATTCACAGCGGGAGCATTCTAACCTCCATGTCTCATCCAAGGCATGATGCTCTAGCAGTGAGAATGGCCAGGCACTGAGTCAGGCCCTGGCTTGTCCTGTGATGAGTGTGGTGTCATGCACCACCTCAGAGTAAATATCTAGTCACTGTTTACCCACCAAAGACGATCTGAAGCATGTAAGAAGTAAAAAGAGAAAAGAGAGAGGTAGTCTTTATCCTTTGGTGCTCTTGTTCTGGCACAGGACCAAGTGCTTCCAGGAAGATATGTACCTGGGCAAATGTAAGTGGGATGCAAGAATGGCATTTGATGGGTTTGAGGCAAAGACTGAAAAAGGAGGCCATTCTTGCCTACAGAAAGGCAGTTCAGTTGTCTGTGAAATCTGAGTCAGCTCAAGCATCCTGGGTTCTTGAACCCAATTTTTGCTTCCAAATAGTCCAGAGCCCTGTAGAGACCAGTTACTATCCTCTCAATGAGGAGAGGCACTCTTGTAAGACTGGGCTGGCAGACACACTGTTGGCCACTTACAGGTACAAGAATCAACAGTGCTTCATTCACTCTGTATATCACCTTGCTCTACACAAGGAAAGGTATAGATTCAAGGAAGAGTGTTATTTCTTGAATCCTTAGCCTCCACACTCTCCCGTCACCTTCATTAAGGTCTCAGTCATATGTCATCTGAACTCACAGTGATTTATAGACCAGCTCCCCATTTCCAAAGCTGCCTTCCAAATCATTACTACACTCAGTTCTCAAAGAGCTGTTAAATTACTGGCATGCCAGCCAGCACTCACCTGCTGGGATCTGTGAACTCCTGTCTCTTCCCGGATAGCACTTGAGCCCTTAGCATTGGCTCCTCAGCTTCACCACCTTTGCTTTGCATCCTGTTTCCGCCTTGAGCTCTGTGATTCAGCAATCCCAGACTGGCTTCTTTCATGCCTTGCCCACCTACCGGAACCCCACCCCCCCCAACCTACCGGAAACGCTTTGCTTGCTGTCTTGTCTGCCGTGTGGCAGTGTCCCATGCTTCCTGCTCTCTCCTCTCCCTCTTCTTCATCTGTGTGGCACCTGCACACTCAGCTCAGGCACCAGACACATGGACCTCCAGGAAGGGGAATCATGTGTCCCTCCTCTGGCCATTACAGGGTTGTGTCCTTGTCACACTGCACTGCACTGTTCTGCTCATGACCCCTTCTCCTCACAAATAATTTTTTCAAAGTGTGCATTTCTGCTCTGTACCATTTAGTAACATGCAAGTGTTTTGTTGAGCTGAGTGTGGAAGAGACCGAACAAGTGGACCTTGGTTTCATATGTACCAGTGTCATACAGAGAAACCCTTCCCCCATGGCTGCAGATGAGGAGAAAGTGTAGCTGGCTCAGCATTCTCCAATATGGGTGACCCACATAGGCCTCAGGGTTAAAAGACACCTGTCCCAGATAGTTTGAGTCAGTGGACTATTTCTGCTTCAGCATTCCTGAGGGAATAACTTCTGGCCAGTCCTATATATCCTGGGTAGAAATGCCACGATTATAATTTAGGGTGATTAGAAGATAGATGTATTAGGAGGATTGGTGCAAATGGACGACATCTGCCCATTTACTGTTGTCTCTTTAATCTTAGAAAATTCTCGTAGCTAAAAGTCCCCCATCCTACGTCACCCAACCAGAAGACCCAGACACTATCTTGCTTTTAGCAAATGCCACCCTGACATGGGAACAAGAAGTCAACAGGAGAAGAGACCCACCGGGCACAGGATCAGAAAAGGCGTATTTTCAAGAAACAGAGGCCAGAGCTATACAGTGAGCAAAGTCCATCAGCACAGGGAGTTGCTAGCCCGGAGTGGCAAAGTGGCAGCCCCAAGTCAGTTCTACACAACATCAGCTTTGTGGTGCGAAAGGTGGGTGTGTCAGTCAGCTTTGCATTGCAGTAATGAAATACCTTTGGGAGTCTGGGGGATGGCCAGACAAACCTAAGAACTCAAGTTGACACACCCAGTACTCACATAAAAAGCCACACAGTACAGCCATGGATGCCTGTAACGCCAGCACTGGGGAGTCAGGGACTGGGGTTTGTTGGGACTTGCTGGTAGCTACAGCCAAACCAGGTTCAGTGGGATACTCCATATCAAAAAGTAAAGTGAAGGTGGCCTTATACTGGGGGGGGGGGTAGGGTGAGAGGGAGGAGGGGGAGAGGGAGGGGGAAGTGCAGGGGAGGGAAGAGAGAGAGAGAGAGGGAGAGAGAAAGGGGGGAGAGAATGAATTTTGACTCAGTTTTGGCAGTTACAGTTCAAGATCAGACTGTGGGCCTCTAGTGAAGGCAGTTCAACCACTACTCCATTTTATGACAGAAAACTGAGGCACAAGACAGCTAAACAAGAAGGACCTGCCGGGAAGCGTGGGGGCAGGGGAAGACTGTACATCCAACTCAATCTGTATTCTTGGTTTGTTTGTTTGTTAGCTTTAAGATAGGTTCAGGACCTTCTTCCTGCCGAAGCCTGTGGTCTGTACTCTGCTTCCCCTCCCCCTCCCCCAGTCTGTCTCTAACCCACAACAAAATTTTGCTTTTGTACAAAACATGGTACCATGCTTTTTGTTTGTTTGTTTGTTTATCTAGTTTAAACCAGGTGACACTGAGCTCACCAAGCCAGCCAGGCACCATGGTCCTTCCTTCCCTCAAGAGTGAGAACTGTAGAACCTTGGATGAAGCTGTGGATTTGGGGATCACTCTGGCCTCCCTCTTGCTCCTTCTGTCTGGATCTTGCCGCACTGGGAACCTGGTGATGGCACTCCCCCGGAGGAGCTGTTGATTTTGCTGCAGCAGGCTCACCATTAATCTTGTGCCCAGTGATGTAATCTCCCATCCTCACTACCACCTTCCCTATGCAAATACGCAGGAGGGAAGCTTGTGGCCTCTCTTGCAGCTAACAAAACCATCTGCCACATACTCCCTGCAAAGTGGTATCTAATGTTTGGTGGGCCCAGTGCCACTGAGCTCAAGTCTCAGTTATGTTTTGCTTCAGTGGTTTCCTGTAGCTCTGCCCTGACACTGGGGCAGCATCCTAACTTCTGTAGACAGCTCAGAAAAACTAGGTCATCTAAGGAAACTGTTTTTTAGTTCTCTAATTGCTTTGCTCCAGTGCTATCTTAGGTATATGGTAATGTCTGGATTTGGGCATATGTAGTTTTCTTCGGGCCACCAGCTTCTAAAAAAAAAAATGACATGGAAACTTATTACTAATTATGAAAGCTTGTCTTTAGCTTAGGCTTGTCCTGCTAGTTCTTACATCTTAAGTTGATCCATTTATTTAATCTATGTTCTGCCGTACGGCTCATTACCTCATCTCTCCATAACTGCCATGCTGCTTCCTCCACGTCTGGCCTTCTTCTTTCCAGAAGTCTCTCTCTGCCCAGAAGTCCTGCCTATCTCTCCTGAGTAGCTATTAGCCATTCATCTTTTTATTACACCAACCACAGCAATACATTTTTCAGAGCATCCATCAAAAGGCGCAGGTAGCTTTTTTCTAGGCCCCCAGCCATATAGCTACTTTACCTTAGGCACGTGCCTCAGCTCCTGAAGAGTCTGTCTCTTGCCTGGTCACTTTACAAGGTGGTTGTGAGAAACAGAGAACTATCATACAAAACGCTTGGCTCATGGTGAGTTTCAGCTGCCATTAGCAACTGATGCCCTCTTTTCCCTTTAACAAGCACGGCTGGCTTAAGTGTTGGCCTTAAAAGTTCTAAATTCAGGCCATCTGAGTTTCTCCAAATTTAGCTCCATGATTCCATTAGACGCTGTCCTCTGGGATGAGATCAGGACTTGCTATTCTGAGTTATGCCCTTAGCCCTGAGCCCACACCTGGTTCAAGATTCTTAATAATGTTTGGTGAATGAGAAATAAATAATGAAACACAGAGAAGATGCAGACCTCGTGAGATTCCTTCTGAAGAAGAGAATGGGCTTAGAAGGCTCTTACCTGGGTCCAAGAAACAGCCAGGACTCATTGGAGGCTTATGGGGAGCCTCTATGAAGCTGGCCCACATCAAGTCTCCATAACTAGCCTCACCATCTGAAGTGCTACTGTGACTTAGAGAGGGGTCAGCCTCACATACTTGCAGCTTTGACACTGCAGGGTCCATGGGGACAGTGACTGCATCTGTCCTGATCGTGGTTTATTCCCAGCGCCTCCTATGGTGTGTGGCATCTCCACAGAGATGAGTCACAGAAGTTATGGATGACAGACAGCAAGCCTCATGCTAGGTGGCACAAGGTGATGAGCATGTCTAATCTAGCTTGGGGTGGGAAAGATGTTACATTTGGCTCCATGCTGAATACATCTCTGTTCTACAGGGTTGCAGCAGGCCTATTTGCAAATATTCTAGAATGTTCCACATACAACCTCTGTTTAAACATAGAAGCAGACAGGCTATCTGCCTCTCTCCCTCTGGGGTTACCCAAGAAGCCTATGGGACCCCTGCCTTACCTCTTTCAGGTCTTATTCAATGTCACTTATGACAAGTGCCTGGGACCTTTCAGTGTACTTGTCCATCTTCCACCCACAGACTTTGCCATGTAGTGAAGGGGTCCTGGGGTGCTGGGGTACCATACAAATCTGGGCTCCTTTCCCAGAGTTGCTGGGGCTTCCTGTAGCCTGGAGCTTCATTTGCAGGCTAATCTTCAGAGCGTGGTTTCTGGGCGTCACTCTTTCCCCTCCCAGCGCTGCCTGCACCCTCCCCAAACACGCTGCTTTCACTCAGACTCCCACCCAGCTCATGCTTCTGGGCCAGCAGGAGCGAATGCTCCATACGCTTTCCACGAGACATATTTGAGAAACTCAGCATTTCAGGTGCTCCCCTTCTGTCCGTCTCCAACTAAAACACAAGCCCTGTGGGGGCCAACAAGGGATTCACCTGTCAGGTTGATCTTCTGGGTGGCTGAGATTTCACTGGGATCGGGAATGTGCCCCCATGATGACCCTGGAGTCAGGGTGACGGCTGGTGCTCAGAACAATGCCTGCTGTGTCACAGGTACTTGGTGACAATTTGATGGCTGAGTTGACACACCTACAGCTACAAAGTCATTCTGTGGAAATAGTGAAAAAACTTGGAGCTCTAAATTGAGTTGTTATGATAAAAGATTTCTTTAAAAAAAAAAAAGATTTCTGAAATCACTCAGACATCCCATGTCCCTCTGGGTCACATCCCCCTTACCTATCATTAGACTCATTTTCCCCCAGTCTCTGGGCACAGGACAACCCTCATATCTGGGGCCTGTGTCTCCCAAACTGGCACAAGGCTGTTTTACATCAGTGTGTGAACAGGATTTCTACATTTCCAAAAGCCCTCTGGGCACTCTGCTTGCTGCACAAGGGAGGGCTCTTAATTAAAACTCAAATCTCTGCAACCTTCCAAGCTGTGCATAGACTTGGGGGCCCAGGCTGCAGCTGCCACCTTATAGAGGTAACAGTAGCCTCTTGCCCTTGCTGGCCTGTTCAGCATAGAGCCCAAGCCCCTGACAGTGTCTGGGAGTAACAGTCTTATCTCTTCTGTGACAGGGGAAGGTCTTGGGAATATGCGGGAATGTTGAAGTGGGAAGAGTTCCCTCATCTCAGCTCTCCTAGGACAGGTAAGGGTGGTGAGAGTTGGAAAGACTTCACTGGTTGAAGAGGGGAAGGATTTACTTGCTTTAGACTTTAGGGACTTGAGCAGCCTGTAGTGCAGTGGTCAGGTTTGGCACATCTTAAAATGAATGTTGTTGATGACTCCCTTGAATTGATGCATTTGGTTGCTCCATGCCTGACTGGACATGGGCCAAGATTTTCACACATCTTTGGGTTTACCTCCCAAAGACAGGAATTAAACAGTGATGGCTTCCTTGCCTTCAGCTCCATGTTGGTCCAAATAAGTGATGGGTCGTTAACATCTGTGGTTTCTCCCATGGCTGTCCTGGTTTATAAAATCCAGGAAAGTCGCTTGGTACAGAATGAAGGAACTGGGGCTCATGGCAACTTTCGATGAATTTTTGATTGTTTGTTTCCAAAACCCTGCCTGAGAGCCTTGAGGAAGGGACTGAATGAATGCATAGAGGCAACAGCGTGACCCAGCTGCCCTGAATGCTTTGTATAGGAAGAGGATGCTTCCTAGATCTTGACCTGTTTCTGCCACCTAGCTGTGAGACCTTAAGCAGGTGATATACTCTAGTTACAGATGGCCTTCGTGTTGCTGTGTTTTACGAGCTTCAATAAGACATGGTTTGAGGATGTCAGGGAAGTAACTCTTCCTTCTGTCTCCTGTTGTTCCTAAAGGGAAGATTGATTGAGCCAGCCGGGGCTGCCTCCCATTGTTTAAAGAATTTGGGGAACCCCTGAAGGGATAAAAAAATGAGGCTCAGCAGGGTCCCACCCAGAATGGGGGTGTGAGTCTTGTGAGTGCCAATGTGATTTCTTTGGCTGCCCTTGACTTCAGGGAGACTGACTATGATTACCCTTCCTGGAGGTGAGGCAGGGCCTGGGTTGGGTAGGCTCTGGCACCTAAGTGTGTGTGCTACTGTGAGGACCCTAGTGTCTGTGACGCCCTGGAAACCAGCCTCCCTTCTCCACCTATCAGCACAGGTCTTCCAGCAGTGTAGGAGATGATCCAGGCTGTGCTCAGATTTCCTGCACTGGGCAGCTCATTCGTTCACTGCCAGTCCCTTTTGGTGGTGTGCTCATTTCCACTGGGAGAAAACTGGCCTCCTTTTAGTCTACCCCTATGGTTTATTCCTTGGGAGCATCTCAGAGAAAACAGAGCCTATCTTCCATGACTGGGGAGAGGTAGAGTGGCATGGGAGGCTAAGCTAGTGGGTTCTAGGCTGTGGGGGTACACCACTTGGTCTCAGCCATATGTTCACCATTTGCCTTTGGATAAAGAAACAGACCTCTCTGGACTGTGCCATCTTCAAAATGGCCAAGGAGAGCTGTGGTGAGGGTTAGCAAAGGGAGTGTACACACCATCCCGAGCTGAGTCCTCCAGACTCAGTGTCAGCTGGCTCAGCACAGTGCCTGGAAGGCACCTGCTATTTCTAGAACTGCTATTGCTAATATTATCATCTCTTTTCCAAGTCTAACTCCAGGCCCCTTCAACCATCTCCAAGGGTTTCAAAATAGCACTGCACCATGTGACACTTTTCCTGATCAGCCATACCATCACCACCCCATGGTCTTCAGCCCCAAGGGTCATGCTTTCTGCAACATATCCCCTCTAATGATTGGGTTGGTCATTTATCACCACTACTGTCTACCATTATCTATCAGAAGCATACATTGTGGGGTCAGTTTAAGTGCCTACGTATACCCAGTATCACAAACTGGGACTCACATGTTTTCTAATTGGATTGCTCAGTGTTATCAAGGTCCCAAAGTTCCACATGAAACTGTGTTTCCCACTCTTTTTTGAAAAAAAGAAAGAATTCTGGCCCCATAAGGCCTGAATTCTTGCGTGGTTATAACTGCGTAACTGAGTCAGAGCTACTTTTTTTGTAGTGGGGCATGCCAGAGGCTCCACCCCCAAGGGGGGAGGCTATACTTTTCTCTAGGGAGAGTTGGATTCATTTCAGCACACCTGGTGGAAGGGATGGGGTCTTGTTACGAATCATTAAGGCATCTTGCAGTAGTGGGCCCAGAGGTGAGATCAGTTTAGGCTGTGCCCTCCAGCTGGCAGCAGGACTCATTACTACCTGTTCTCTAAATGACCTGTCTAGTCCTCGCAAGTGTCCCATCTAGAGCTCTCAACTGCACAATTGGACTTACAGGGTGTGGATCTGTCAACCCCTTTATATCCGTGTGACTAATGCTCATGCAATAAGAGGGTGGCGTCTGGGAGAGACCTGGGATGTGTCTTCTAAGGTTTTCTCCCTTACTTTTGCTCTAGATGCAGTTACAAAAAGGGGTCGTGGCTGTCAATGGACCTTTGGCTTATGTTTCTCAGCAAGCATGGATTTTCCATGGGAATGTGAGGGAGAACATACTGTTTGGAGAGAAGTACAATCACCAAAGGTATTAACTTGGGATGTTTCCAGTGCTGTGGTAGTTGGTGTACCTTGCTTAAGATGCTGATGCCTCTAGGGATGGTTACTGAGTGGATTTTTTTTTAAAGGAGCATTGATCCTCCCGGGAGATGGATTTTCTTTTTCTGACCCAGGAGTTCAGAGGAAGCACGTTGTTCTGCAGACCTGTGACCACATGGCATGCCAAGAAGAGGACTCAGTTGTCACTTCATTCCCAGGGCAGAGTCCCATATGCTCTGAGGTTCTCTGTAACAGGGCATATGTTCTCTAGCTGGAGGAAAATGAGTCTTGCAATTTTGATTTAGGCTAAGTTGCTAAAACTTTGCATGGGATCATGAACAGAAGGCATGCAATTAGTCAGTCCTGACATGATTAATTCACATGGCCACTACCAAGGTATATTGTTGTTAGTGTCCTCAAATGGTCCAATAACATAAAATCAAATTTCCTGTTATAGATCTTTAATATTGCTGGCTCATTTTATTTAAGCTCTGGGAAGTGATGTCCTCCTAGGTCTGCTTACCTAAGATGAGTCCCATACAACTTGTATAAGGAGATCCAGGCATTCTATCCCATTTCACTGATGGGGGAGCTGAAGTTCAGAGCAGTGAGTTGACTGCTAACAAAGCTTGAGTCTTGGACTTTGGGCCCCAGGATCCAGCATCATTTGTTTCCATTGAGGTTGCCTGACAGCAGGGTCACTCAAAAGTATCCTCAGACACCACAGGACTGAAGTAGGAAGAGTCAGACTTAGGAATCCAGTTGCAGTTTGGGCTTCTTTTATTATCTGAGCTCACAGACTCCATACTCTATGGGCTGGCATTGGTCAGCAAGTTTATTCCCAGCAGGAAGTCTGTGGCTCTCCTCTTTCCCTGGCTGTGATGTCCCAACAGAAGGTTCACATATGACAGGAAGTTCTGATCAGTGGTGGGAGTCCTTGGCATGAGACAAACTGCTCTGCTCCATGTCTCATGGCCACACCCCTTTTGCCCATCCCTATACCATCCCTCTCTGGAATGCCTTTGCTTTCCATGGTTACTTAATTTATCAATAAGGAGGTGAAGATAGCAAGTATTCACCAAATGCCTGCCATGTGCAGGGCAACACAAGGAATGCAGATATTGCTCCTCATGTATGAGTCACATTAGTGTTGTGTGACAGATGTCAGGGCAGGAGCAACTTAGTGGAGGAAGACTTGTTTTGGTCCACCAAGGCAAGAGAGGCATGGTGGAACAGCTCTGTTTGTGGTGGTAAGGGTATATGGTAAAAGCTGCTATCAGCTAATAATGTAGTTTCCAATCATCCTTAGTAGAGGCATGCAGCTTGACAAGTGGGGCAAAAGTCTCTGGCTCAGTGTGGGGTCCAGTAGCTGCCTGGATGGTGCACAAATGCGAATGTCACTAGGTATGCCAGCCATTCAAGACAGTGGAGGGATTCTGAGGCTATGGGTCACTGGGGTGACTTGGGGGCAGTTCACCATGGGGGAGATTCAGAGAAAGTAGAAGCAGTGGGGTGTCACCTTCTCCCCTACTGTGGGACCTCAGACCTCACTAGACTATGTGGCCAGGAGCCCTAAGAGGTAGCACCTACCTAGGCTGAGTGGGAGTGTGCCCAGTAAGATGAGCTATTTGCCCAGCAACTAGACTGTGCAGAACTAGCAATTCCTCATAAGTCTGAACTCCAATCTGAGAATGGGTGATACTAAGGAGCACAACAGTCTTGGAAGCCCCCAGTGCTAGGGTCCACTTCCCACTCTTCCTTTTTCCCCGTGAAGTGACATCGTCTCTCCAACGTGATGATGTGTGGACAGAGCAGTTTTACGGAGCAGAAGGAGTTAATCAAGAATGTCAGGGTTGGCTTTGTGATCCCATAACCCCATGCTGCTCCACCACATATATGCCCTCTTCCATTCATGGCTTTGATTCGTCCCCTGGGTCCTTCTAGACATCATCTTCAGCAACCACATCATGATTCCCTTCTCTGACTCAAAGAGCAATGATATCAGATGGCAACCCCAGGATTTCATAGCCAGTGGTGTCATTTTCCCTGCATGACAGGAACCCTGTAAGAGGAGCGACCAACCCCGAGTCAAGGGAAGACGCCAGGGGCCAAGGAGACACTGCCCTTGGGACAAGGCAACTTGCCTGAGAGACTTGAGCAAAGCAGCAGCACGATCTTCCTCCTGTCCTCTCAACAGCAGTGGTTCCTCCAGGAGCAGCGAGGCAGCAGTGCTGCATGCTAGCCTTACCATTCTGACCTCTATGCCCACAGGTATCAGCACACGGTTCATGTCTGTGGTCTCCAGAAGGACTTGAACAGCCTCCCTTATGGAGACCTGACTGAGGTGAGCAGAGCTGAGTCCCTTCTGCCCAGCTGACTCTGGATTTATAGCTACATGTTTCAGAGGCAGAAAGTCCCAAGGAAATGCTGCCAAAGTCCAGTCTCTGCCTATCAAGAATTCTTCTTTGGGGTCCACCAAGTGGAGGGGGACCCAAGCCTACTTTGTTTGACTCATCATGGTTGCTTCCACAGCCAACTTCCAAATTTTCCATCATCTCAGGAAGGGTTCCTGGACAACTGCTGCCTAAACTCAAGGTCCAGCTCTTTCTTCAAATCAGTGGTCCAGAGTGTGCCTCATACTTGGGAGTCTCAGAGCTCCTTTTTGTTCCCTGTCTCCATGCAGCCCAGGAATGCTGAGTCACCTTCAGACCTTGCCCCTAGGCTGACTGTCCTGTATTCCGGCTGACTCGGGTGATCCAGAGCCCTTGTGTCCCCCTCCTCTCTCTCCCGATCATACCAGGTCTCTAAGGCAAGCTTTCCCACAGTGCCTTCTCAGAGAACTGGCTCTTCTAGTCTCTCACTCTGCCCGTCAGGAGTGGCTGGCCTTTCTGAATGTACATGTGGCCCTGACTTCTTCCACGTTGTGTCTCTGCACCTCTGTCAGCCAGCCAAAGTGTCTGTCCACCTCCTAGTCTTTCAGGATCTAGCCCAGCTTCACTGAGGAAGACCCTGGAGTCCACAGTCAGCAGCAGTTTGTCAGCAAGTGCTGTAATTAATGTCTCTTGTCTTGGTGAATATGTCGGCTGCTGTTTTTGTGTGGCTAGTGCTCCCTGCTAAAATGTGAGCTCCTGGTTCATAGGTCTCTTCTCTTCTAGCATCGGACTTGGTACCTGGGCACCTGAGGACAGTGGGATTCACTCCGGGCTCAGGAGGATGGGATTCCTAGAAAAACATGACCTAGGCTTTTCACCTTGCAGCAAATGTTTACTGAGCTTCTAATCCATGCTTCAGATCAGGTGCTGGGTCTTAGAGATTGATGGTGAGCAAGATAGCATGTGTCTTGTCTTCATAGTGCATACAGTTACATACAAGGAAGTGAACATAGGGGTCCCTGGTCCATCTCCCAGACACTTTGCCTGCTTTTCATTATCCATTCCTCTAGAGTTCTTTGCTTTAAAAAAACAAACAACAACAACAACAAAAACAAAACAAAACAAAACAAAAAAAAACCTCCTTTGTGTTATCAGTCAATAAACAGTGGACTATGCACTGGGAAGCAGGAGCCCTTTATCCAGTAGTCTCCCCTCGCTCAGATGCGTCCCATCACAGTGGGCACTGTGCTTCAATGGGGTGAGGGAGATGGAGTTCTTGCAGTCACCACTGTCCAGTGTGAGGGGTGGAGGAGCTTGTGTGCAGAGGCAATCAGCCAGTGTGCCTTCTCCCTGAGACCCAGGGAACGTTAGGAAGCTCTTGGTGTACAAGAACTAGAGGGTGGCAGATGAACTTAATGATGGGCTGTGCCATTATTCCTGTCTACAGATTGGTGAGCGGGGTGTCAACCTCTCTGGGGGACAGAGGCAGAGGATCAGCCTGGCCCGTGCTGTGTACGCCAACCGTCAACTGTACCTGCTGGACGACCCACTCTCAGCTGTGGATGCCCACGTGGGGAAGCTTGTCTTTGAGGAGTGCATCAAGAAGACACTCAAGGGAAAGACCGTTGTCCTGGTTACCCACCAGTTGCAGGTGACAGGGACATGGAGGGTCCATGAGGTCTGGGGATGAGTGCAGGCCATGCTCATAGAGACTCCTCTTCTGCCTACAAATGCCTTCCCCACCTGAAACTGACCTTACCTGGACAGGGGGATGAGAGGGCAGGGAATGGAGGAGGCACTGGTGCGTCCTGCAGCCACACTCGCTTCCAGGCACCGCTGCCTGCTTGTCTCTGTGTTTGACATCCACTGGCCTAGGCCTTGGGGTCACTGGGGACAGGATCGATTGTTCATCCACCACAAAGTAGATTCTCCAGGATCGGTTGGCTCAGAGAGCTGGGCCATTGGTGTCAAGAGGAGCCAGGCAGGGACAATTCAGGCCCCACCCTTTCTCCTCTAGGGACTGGATGGACCTGAGGTCAGGGGTTCTTTGTCTGGGGATGGTAGAAACTCTGCTTTCTTTCCTCATCCAGAAAGTCATGGGGTCCTGTGATGAGGGTCCCAGGCACCTTAATCTTCCCCCCACCCAGGAAAGGCTCTGGAGGCCAGGGCTAGGGTCCAAATGATGGGGCTTATGTTGGGAGAAAATGGAGAATTAGGTTGTATGATCATAGACCTTGTTGCATCTCTCCCACATACAGGTTCAGAACACTTGGATGTGTATCTAGGGCCTCCTTCTTTACCCAAGATAATCCAGGGCTCCCCTCTCATGCTGTCTCTCCCTACTTTTCTATAGTAAGTCCCAGAGATACATTGTGTGAGTGTGTAAGTGCATGCATGAGTGTGTGCATGTGCCTGTGTGTGTGCCCCAGTGTAGGACTCACCCCACCGGCATTGGGAGATGGCCCATGGGGGCAAGGGTGCAGAAGCCCTGTCTTCTTGTCCAGCAGACCTATCTGGGGGCAGGAGGCAGGTCTCATTGTTTTTCAGTGAAGGGGAAGCTGAGCTGGTGGGAGAGTTAAGCAGCAAATGAAGTTTATAGGACCCCGCAGTCAGTATGCTAGGACCTTCTGGCCGGGGCCAGGAGGACCACCCCAAAGACAGTGGTGCTTCTCAAGGACCCAGGAAACCCAGCTGTTCTGGAGCCTCCCCACAATAAGCTTTAAGCATTCAAATTTTGCACATGTGGGTGTCTGGTTCCTACAGCGGGTATGCCACCACTGTAGTTAACCCCGAGTCGGGCTAGTTGGACAAGAACGCTTAGGTCCTTTGCAAGCCAGGGCCAAGGTAGAGGAGAAGGCTGCCTAGTTCCATCTAGAAATGGTCTCTGGCCTAGCCAGAGTCCTGAGTTTGGTTACCAGGCTTTGGCTTGTGAACATTGTGCTTGTCAATAGCCTGCCTTGGGAAGGCTGTCTTCCTGAGGAGTCCTCTGTCATGGATTTTGATGCCTTTGTCTGGATGGGTGTGAGATGGAGCTGTCCCTCCAGGAGCCATCACGGAGGGTAAAACATAGCCATCTTGGACACTAACTAGCTAGGGGTATGCTCTTAGGCAAGCTAGTGTTTTCCCAGGTTCTCCAGCAGCATACCTCGCCAAGGTCATTTTAGCTCACTTTTTTTACTTGTTGGAAAAGGGAGGCCACCAGGTGGCACTATAATCTTGGTGTGATCATCATCCCATTCTTTGTGGGGGAGGGGAGGAAGCCTCTAACTGTAGCCCTGGGGCTTTCCAGAACATTTCTTAGCTGCTTTGACCTCAGATGCACTGGAGTAGCTGGTCAGGACAGTCACTCATCCGTGTACTTGGGGAAACAAAGTGAGGCTGGTAGTCAGATGGTATCTGTTCAGGGCTCACATTCCTAAGCGTTTGCAGAGCATGGCCGAGCAAAGCTACCCATGCCACTGGAGTGAACTGAGGGCTTGCTGGCAGGAGGAACCTTTGCTGGGCCTTTCCAGGTTTGGGCGGTGGACCCCATACAGGTAGAAAAGCCTGCGGATTGTAACAGGCCCTAAGTGCTTCCTTTCCTTATCTGGAAAATCGGTGGCTCAGCCAAGCTGCAAGCTTTCTTGCCCTGGAGGTGCAAGAGAGGTAAGATGTGAGATCAGGCTGTGAAACTTTAGAAGGTGATGTGTGAAGTACAAGTTTGTCTTCTGTCAGAAGGTGTCTCTGCTGGGCACTAACAGTCACATTTCTGCTTGTGCTGCCTGGGGAGGGGGGATGAGTCTCAGATAGGGACACTTAGAGGCTAGAAGTACCCAAGCTGTTAGAACCACTCTGGCTGAATCATTTGGGCACCACATACCCCATCAGTAGTACAACCGTCCTGCTTCCAGGATCTGAATCAAATGCAGCCAAGTGGGCTTTGGAATAGTGTGCAAGGGCAAAGCAGGAACTTTGGCCCTGGCTTCTTCAGGTGGAACTGTTCCCAGGCTTGCAGCATCTTGCCTGCCTCTAGGATGGGGCTTTCTGCCCTTTGATGGGTGGGTCCAATTGGGAAGTGCTCTTTCTTCTTCAAAAATAAAAGAGGGTCCCTCTTAGCAGAAATCTTTAATCACAGGACTGACATGGGTCCCAGAATCAGAAAAGCAGAAATGTTTTGGGTAAAATGGAAAGCAGAATATTGTACATACAGTTATTGTAATGTGAAAGCTGGTGGGAGTGCATGTGGCCTGTGGTGTGGTTTCTATCCCCTGGGCTCAGTGGGGTGGGGCTTCTGGCAAAGCTGAGATCACATTTTCTATCTTTACCAAACCATGGCCTCTAAATGGTCAATCAGATTTCTTAGTAGGGTAACTCATTCAGAGAGAAGAAGGAAAGGAAGGTTCAATTGCTTCATTGTGGCAGCCAGAGTCCAGCTTCTGTACTCAAGAGATTGGGCTAGCTCAGTGGTTCTTAACTGGGATCCCCTGGGGCATTTGGAAATGCTCAAAGACATTTGCTTGTCACACTAGGGGAAGGCCTTCTCCTGGTGGGTAAAGACCAAAGAGACTGAAAAAGCCTACAATGCACAGGACAGCCCCCACAGACAAGGAATTATTTGCCCTCTAATGCCAATAATGCTGGGATTGAAAACTCCATTAACTCAATGTACCTGGGAGAGCTGGACGTATGTTTGGCATGCGGTCTTTCTGCTCTTACCGAGGCAGTGCCATTGTGGATCACTGTACTGTTTCTGCAGTTCCTGGAGTCTTGTGATGAGGTCATTTTGTTAGAAGATGGAGAGATTTGTGAAAAGGGCACCCACAAGGAGTTGATGGAAGAGAGGGGGCGCTATGCAAAGCTGATTCACAACCTCCGAGGATTGCAATTCAAGGTAACTGCGTGCCCACCCATGAGTGGGACTAAGAGCCTTTCCTCATGACTTCCCGCCTGGGAGAAGTCTGCCATTGCACTTTCAGAGGTAATTCTGTTTTATCTCCAGGATCCAGAGCACATTTACAATGCAGCCATGGTGGAGGCCTTGAAGGAGAGTCCAGCTCAGAGAGATGAAGATGATGGTATAGTCAGACTGACCGTGCCCCTCCCTCACTGTCCCTGGGTCCCTAGTGGACGAGAACCTTTTCATGGACTTATTATACAATTTCTCATCCTAGTCTTGGCTCCAGGCGATGAGAAAGATGAAGGAAAAGAACCTGAAATGGAAGAATTTGTAGATATAAAAGGTATTTAGCATCCTCTCCCTTGGTTGTGTACCCTGGTTTGCATGCTGGGCATCCAGTACCAGGAGAGAAGAGCAGAAACACACTGGCTATTACTCTGGAAAGCTAGGGTTGTGGTATGTTGGAGTGTGAGACTGTTCTTGGTAATGTTGACTGTCATTTTAATTGGGCTGTGAAGCTTCTTGAAGATTAGTAAAGACCATTACTGGGTTCTTTCTGAAGACATTCTGGGAGACAGTAGCCTATGAGGAAAACCTACCCTAAATGAGGGCAGCAGCATCACCTAGATTGGGAACCCAGATGGAATAAAGGGGAACAGAGGACATGCCCATTGGTGCTTCCTTCCTTCCTTGCTTGCTTGCTTCCTTCCTTCCCTCCCCTTCCTTCCCTCCCTCCCCCTTCTTTCCTTTCTTCCCTCCCTTCCTCCCTCCTCCACTCTTTTTTTTTTTCTTTGTTTCCTGGCCGCCATGAACAAGAAATTTGACACTTTTAATTAATTATTTTTTTTTAGAGATTATAACACAGTTACATCGCTTCCCACTTACCTTTCCTCCCCTAAACCTCTCACGTGCCCCACCTCCTTGTTCTCTTTCAAGTTTGTGGCTTCTTTTTCTTTACTTGTGCGTATCCCTAAATGTAAAAATCCAATCTGTTCAATCCATGTGCTGTTACTTGTATGTACATGTTTTCAGGTCTGGCCCTCTGGTTAACCAGTTGCTGTGCTCTTGCCTGGGGAAGACAATTTCTCCTGCACTCGACACTCCTAGTTGCCTATTCTTTGTGTAGGGTTGAGCTTCCCCTTCCTTGATAGCCTATCCCTTGGTGTCATCCTTGTTCAGGTCATGAAACTGGACACTCCCAGCCTTAGCTTCTTAATCTACAAAGCAGGGAAATAATAGAATCAACTTTGAAGAGTCTTGTAAAGTTTAAATGAGAAACTGTGATTAGCAAATTGCCTGAACCGTAATGACCTTCAGAAGTTGAGTCTGGATGGATTTCCATGGGGATGGAGGCTGGATCAGGTTACACATCCATTCAACAAATAGGTTCTAGACATTGCACTGAGTGCCGAGTCCTGAAACAGGGAAGAAGGTGGTGTTCACAGTTGATTCTACAGCCTGGTACAGGTCACAGGCAAATGGCGGCTGTGGCAAACTGGGGTAAAGGTAATGGGGAGCTGGCATGGGGGAACAGCTAGGCTATGAGAGGCCCCCAGAGGGGTCAGTCTGCACTGGTCCTTCAGGAACATGTAGGATTTTTCTTCCTAGGGGTAATGGGGAGAGACGATGGGAGTATGGGGGTGGGGCTTGAGAGCAAGGGTATGAGAAAATTCCAGGGAAGAGGAAGTAGAGATGAGACTGGCCAAGGCCAGCTGTTGAGGCTACCTCTTTTCCTTAGACTGTTGCTACCTATCCCTTATCCCCAGGGCACAGAGTCTGTGCCTCAGATTGTTTAGAGACAGGGGTCACAAGTCTTCAAAGTGCCCACAGTGGGGTAGCTTTCTGCTAGAGCCATGATCCTCGCTGATCACATCACACCACACACACATGATGACACAGGCCTCTAATTCTAGAATGAGGGAGGCCAAGTCAAGAAGATCCTGAGTTTGAGGTTTGCCTGGGTGACTATAGCATATACTGTTTCTGAAGCAAAATAAGTAAACAATCAGCAGCCAAGACTACAGGGCAACGCACTGCAGATGCCATTCATCTTTGTAGCACACCATCCTTTTATAATCCACGTAGAAGGGAACAACACAAAACAAAACACTGCCAGTGGAATGGTAGCATCTATCAAAAATGGAGGCACATCTGGATTTCAGAATGTTAAAATGTAGGGGAAAAAAAAGCCTTTAGTTGCTGGAATATGGCACTGTTAATGCTGCTTGTGACATATGCACACATATGTGGGAAGACAGCTCATTTTTATGGACTGTAAGTCTTCCTGGACCAAAGGGAAACACCAAAGATACCTCTCCCATGCTTTGGGGGAAACTCCAGGCTGCTCCCGTGATATCTTGTGGGGGATGGAGACCCCTCTTCCTTATGTGCTCACTACCCACCCTTCTCTGGACAAGAAAGTAGAATGTGAAACATCATTGGAGACGAGACCCCGTCTCCCAAGGTTAGCCACTGAGATTCAGAGTACATGGTGCTAGAAGGGCAGGGCACACACTGAAGGCTGAAGTATTTTCTAAAGCTCAGGGAAGGCCCTGGATGGGCCGTCAGGCTGAAGGGACATTTGTGCCTTGGGTTGCCCTCATACACTGCCTTTCCCTCATTTTGCAGCCTAAGAATGGAGTGGAACATTCTAAAGAAGTTTGCAGGCTCTCAGACAGAGAATGGTGTGTGTGTGTGGGGGGGGGCTTTGTCCATTGGGCACCACGGACAAAGAGACCATGTATAAATTCCACCACCACATCCACCTGTCCTGTCACAGCAATACACACAGCCAACTGAGCTTGGGAGTTCTCAATGGATACAGACTAATTGTACACTCATTTGCGTCTTCTGCTTGAGGTTCAGTTCTGGGAGCCAGCACAGCCCTGTTCTCCCAGGTTAAGCACGTAATGAACACTATAGAGTCCTCAAAAGATTCCAAGTCACTTACCTCACAGGGCTGTGAAGAGGATCAAGTAATCTAAAATGAGCAAATGTGTATTAGGAATTTGAAAGCACGTGGAAAACAAGACAAGTGCCCTTAGCAGTGGAGGGGGGGTGGTGGAAGGGGGCCGCTGGCCTCACTGTGTGCCCACTCTGGCCATGAGGCTCATGGCCTTGTGTTGTGGATTTTCTTTCCCGCCAGCTTCCATGGCTGCCTTGCTCCAAATGAATACACAGAGATGCTACATTAATTATAAACCGTTGGCCGATAACTAGGGCTTCTTATTGGCTAACTCTGTCTTAATTATTAACACATTTCTATTAATCTAAGTATTTCCACATGGTCCAGACCTGTTACTCCCTTAGTGGCCTACATGGAGACTCTTTCTGGTGGGTTTTCTCTGCCTCCCTTTCCCAGAATTCTCCTTGTCCTAGTCCCACCTATCTTCCCGCCTCATTGGCCAGACAGTGTTTTATTCATCAGCCAATAAGAGAAACATATCTATAGAAGGACATCCTCCATCAGCATTGTGTTTGTCGCCATAGCTCCTGAGCACCAGCTTGTCCAGATGGAGTCTCCTCGAGAAGGAATCGTGACCTGCAAAACATACCACAGCTATATTAAGGCTTCTGGAGGTTTGGTATAAAACATCAGGTTTCTTGACTTAATTTGCATTTTAAAAATCTGTTTTTAAACTGTTGGGTTCATGTTTTTATGATTCCTTCAGCAATTACTCTTTTTATGCTTATGCTAGCTCTGCTTATCAGTGCTTTTATTTTCCCCACCTAAAACCTAAAGCCTGATAATACAACCCTTTAAATGGAGTCATTTTTTATTTCCATTAAAGCTGCCAGGTTCTGTTTTATTGGAGCTGAGTGGGCAGCAGCCAGAAGCTGTCGGTGGTTCTTACACACACAGACACACACACAGATACAGACACACGCGCGCGCGCACACACACACACACACACACACATGCTGGATTGCTGAACACAGCCACAATCACACAAGAGACTATCTGCATGTGTAAGTCTCTTCCAAAAGACTGGGGATTTGGATATTAGAGACAGAGTGCATGTGTAGCCCAGACTGGCCTCACACTTCCAATCTACCCAACCAAGCATTCCTGGGCCTAGAACATCAGACAGACTCTCCCCCACCCCCAACTGGACTCTTGACTTGCTTTTAATGAGTACTGACTTACCTGTGTTAAATGGAACATTAAATAGACATGGTCACACATACCTGTAATCTCAGTCTTGGGGGAAACTGAGGCAGGAGGATCACAATTGTAAAGGCAGCCTTAGCTGTATTGTTTGAAGTTATCCTGGGCTGTATAACAAGGGCCTATCTCAAACGAACAAACTGGACACTGAAGGTTTTCCTAACATGTTGACAGTTTGGTTCTGTTTCCAACCAAATGGAACAAATGTCCTTATTGAGGCACAGGGGCCCAACATGAAGACATCTTGAGTCAGCCTAGCACATGGACCCTCCAGATGGGGGATCTTTTTTTTTTTTTTTTTTTTTTTTTTTGCAGCCCTGGCCTCCCCAAATCCCAGGGGTGAGGCTCGGGGTAGGGGATCTGGCCCTGGCCTCACATCTTCTCCCCTTGCTCCCCTGGCAGGGTACCTGGTCTCCTTCCTGGTGCTGTGTCTCTTCTTCCTCATGATGGGCAGCTCTGCTTTCAGCACTTGGTGGCTGGGCCTCTGGTTAGACAGGGGATCCCAGGTGAGTTTCCCTTGACAATGGAAGGAAACGCTTGCCAATAGTGACACCTGGTGTGTTCCCTTTGTGCCCTTGCCCCTTTTGGGCCTTGCAATTCAAATTCTTGAGATCCTTTTCTGCTTTTAAAACAAGCAAGGCACCTACCTGGAAGTTTCCGTGTACAACATCAGATTTAAAAGGGTTTGCTGAAAAAATGATGGTTTCAATGCGCAGAGTTGCACTTGCTCCGGTAGGGTAGTACCACTGAGACCACTGAGGTCTCCTCTAAGGAGGGACGGGGAGGGGCCCGGGAAGATGAGCAAAGACTGATGCATCCCTGACTCTGAAGGAGAAGTGCATCTTGTCATAGACATCGCTTAGTGCTCTGCAAAGGTGCCTTAGCAGGAAGAGGACCTAAAACGGATGCAGCCTTTGTAAGTGCTCCAAGACCACCAGGGCCTTCCATTTTTCCCAACGTTTCCATCATGGCCAGGGCCCTTCCTTGGCAGCTCCACCAATACATGCCTCTTCCTCCAGCTTGCTGGAATAGTTCCCCAGTTGTTGGCCATTGGTCTCAAAGCTTTACCTGGAGCTCCAGGGAATATGGTGGGGGTACCTGCTCATTTTCCAAGATTGCACTGTGGTACCAACTTGTTGCTATGGCATCAAATAAGGATGCATGGGTATGGGGGAGGGGAGAGGCTGTTTGACACAGCTTCCTGGGGCTGTTCCTACAAGCATAAGACAGGGAGAAGCCTGCTCTGTGCAAATAAAGCAAGAGCCATCTTGAAATACATGTGTTCTTCCAAGTCCCCACTCATGAAGATTCTGTCCACTCCTCAGATGTAGGGTCAGGTGGAGCTGTCCCCTAGGCTCAGGGCTTCTTCGTTAGGCCTCTGAGCATGCAGCAACAGTGGCAGGCATGCCCCTGTGTTTATTCCTGATCCCCAATGCTGTGGGTACAACCTACAGCATGGCAAAGCCTCCTCTGCAAGCTGAGCCTTTCATCAACTAACCCCCAGGGATGCTTTTTCCTCAGCAGATGCTCATCCATCAGCCACCTCTGGTTTACATTTCCCCCATTACTGTAATCAGCAGAATGGCATTTAGAAGAGACATGTTTGTTTGCTCCCCAAAGGCATCCTTGACTTTTAGCACACAGCCTAGAGAAAAATGAAACTGTCAATTTCTCAACAACAGGCAATGGCCTCTCTTCAGAAATGCTGGGGAAGTTATGTTCCCTGGCTGGGAGGGGTGGAGCTACTGTATGTTGGGACCCTCTGAGAGCCCCCTTGGGTTTGCTAGGCTCCATCTTTCTTGCCAGGGCCTCCAGAGCAGGGCAGCAGCACCCTCACTGTTGACCCTTGGAGACAAGCCGGGGAGAGGATTAAGGAACGGGACCACCCTCCACCGAGACCCCTGATTCTCATTAGACAGTAGCTGCTGCTGGGCAGCTGGGGCTGTGGGAGGATGGTCCCTGGCTGTCTATAATGTCTGGGTTGCCTAAGGGGAGCCAGGGCAGCTGATCAGAATCCAGAGATCCTGTTTGCTTCTGGATCTTCTTGGCCTACCATCACTGGAGGTCTCCTGAGGCACAGGTGGCTTCTGTGACAGCTGTCCTACACCTGTTTATCTGCTGTTTTCCCCACCATCAGGTGCCCCTTGTGGAAGAGGCCTGAAAATCTCAGATGGCCCCTGAGGGACCTGGCTTGATGTTACCTATATGACTCATTCTGGATTTGAATTTAAATTTTATTCTTCTAAAATGTGTTTGTTTGTATGTGCCTAAGCAGCCACTCATCCATGTGTGAGTGTGTGGAGGCTGGAGATTGACCTTGAGTATCTTCCCTTATCACTTTCTACCTTAATTTTTGAGGCCGGGTTTCTCACTGAATCTGGAGCTCACTGTTTTGCTGAGGGTGGCTAGCCAGTGAGCCTCAGTGATCTCCTCATCTTCCCCCAAATCCTGGTACATGTTAGGGATCTGAACACAGGTCTTCACGCTTGTATATCAATACTTTACTCACTGAGCTATCTCTCCCATCCCACCTGGCTCATTTTTAACAGCCATGTACTTCTTTTTAGTTTCTTCTCTCTAGAAAGATTATCTGAAATAGCTCCCTTCTTCCAGTAGCATACCCAGTCTTGATATTTCTTTTCTGTTGTGCTACAGGTCATCTGTGCACCCCAGAGCAATAAGACAGTCTGCGATGTTGATCAGACCCTGCAGGACACAGAACACCATATGTACCAGATGGTGTACATAGCAAGCATGGTGTCCGTGCTGGCATTTGGCATTATCAAAGGATTCACCTTCACCAACACTACACTGATGGCATCCTCTTCACTCCACAACAGAGTGTTTAACAAGGTAGTGCCACAGTGGGCTGCAGGCCCACCTGATTGCTCAGTTCACAGGGTGAAGCAGACCTTTCAATGTGCCAAACATCTTGTTGGGCTCTGGGGATGGGACAGCTCTCCTGGAGTCTGCCATCTAGTTTTCAAGGTGTCTGCCACTTGTTTGAGTACCATATAGGAAGGCCAGTTTCAGAGAGCAATAGGGATATATACACCATGGACTCTAGAGGCTGGAAAGACAGTGGGGGAAGATGTATATCTCGTTTCTCAGAGTTCCAGCTAGAGAGGACCTGGAGATGGGCTCTGCTTCCCATTGCTGTAGCAGGCAGCAACGGCAGTTGGTTGTGAGGGCCCTTTCCAGAACACACAGGTATGCTCCACACTTGGCAGCGTAGACAGACAAGTAGACTTGACCTTTGATTCACCTGGAGTTCAAAATCCCTCCCTTCTCAGAGAGTACCCACCTCCCTGACCCATGAAGCACTTGATGTTTGGAGAGGAAGCCCCAAACACAGGCAGGCTCTCTCCCAGGTTCACTCCTGGCGGTGGCCTAAGAATGGGAGCACCACCCTCATTTTCCAAAGATTACCGGAGCTCCTGGCCTGTGCTTTGGGGAAAGGCCTGCCCAGCCCCCCACGCTTACCTACACCCTGACAGATGTCCACTGTGCACCCCGGACTCAGGTCGCTCTGCTTTTCTCCTCAGATCGTCAGGAGCCCAATGAGCTTTTTTGACACAACCCCCACAGGCCGACTGATGAACCGCTTTTCTAAAGACATGGACGAGCTGGACGTGAGGCTGCCATTTCATGCCGAGAACTTTCTACAGCAGTTCTTCATGGTTGTGTTCATTCTGGTGATTATGGCCGCTGTGTTTCCTGTTGTCCTTCTTGTTCTGGCTGGCCTGGCGGTAATCTTCCTCATTCTTTTACGGTAGGACTATACACAATGTAAAAGGTGTGTGTGGGGGGGGCACTCTGTCCCACACACGTGGAGTGGGGTGAGGAGAGAATGTGGATGAATGTGTGCAACAGCTGGGAGGCAGGCTGTGCTGAGAGCCTGTTTTTTTTTTTTTTTTTTTTTTTTTTTTTCTGATGGGAGAATCCTAGATTTTTGACACTTGTTAAACTCCAGGTACTGTGAGAGTTCCTTAGGTACATTTGGCTTTTTGGCCCCAGAGCAATGCTGGGAAACGGGTAAGTTATTTGGAGGTTAAGTCTCTGGCCCCAGGCCAGGAAACAAGTGAGCATGGTTGCCATTTGTCTGCTGATTCATTCTGAAAACCACTGGGCTCTGCAGGATGCCATCTGCAGTCACTCTGACTTTTGAGAAACAGCTTCCATTGCAGCTAAAGACTGCTATGTACAGAGAGGTGTGGGGAGGGATGGAGACAGCTCCCAAGGGTGTACACACCGGTCTGGAGGGGAACTGGAAGCAGCAACTTCCAGCTTCCAGGGAACAGAGTTCCCTTGTCCTGCAGTTGGGGTGGTTAGGGAGTAATGAGTGGGAACAGAGAGAGCTCTAAGTCAGAAAGGTCTGTACCAGGAATCTGGCTTTGCTGTGAAGCTAGCTGGAGAACTTTGAAATACTGCAAAAAAAACCTGTTCCATCTTGAGCGAAGTTCTTAGGCGTTAAAATGTGTGCCTTGTCTGTGTCAGAAGAGCAAGTGAGATGAGGTGATAAAGTCCACGCCCATTGAAAACAGAATAGAATGGTAAGCAAACTTGAGAGACTTATTTGGGTAAAGACTGGTGAGGACAAGAAAAGGATGGGTTTGAGGGACATTCACAAGGCAGTGTCATCAGGGTTTTACAAGTGGGAGACTTTGGGGTGTCCGAGAGATTGGGACAGCCAAAGGTGGGGGACTGAGGTGCGAGAAGAAACAGTTGCAATCGCAAGTGCAATTTGCTTTTGGGTTCAGACTCATGCATCAAGTCAGAGCAGTGGCAATGGCAAATGTGTGAGGGATGTACTGTGGCTGGAGACTGGCATGGACACCCGCTGGGAGCAGGTGTGATCCTGGGAACTGAGACTAGTGCCCCGGGATTCAGCAGGGCCAGGCTCTCACTGCAGTACCCTTGGTATCACCGAGAAAAGGACACAGTTCCAAATTCAGGAGTTTATTGTGATAACAAGTAAAAACTGTTTTCTGAAAGTCCATCACAAAGGTGATGCTCATCATTAGTGAGTGGGTCTCTTGAGCTTCTACTCATTTCTGTTGACTTTGTTGGCCATTTGTTGCTGTCTACTCTATCGCTGTTGATCGACTAAGTAAAAGCCTGAAAGAAATCTTCCCGGCCTACCCTCGTCTTTGCTATAAGCACAGGAGAGACCAAAGGGGGCCCTGACCTAATTATACGTATGTTTACAATGAATTCGCTGAGCTCTGAGCTTCCCTTACTCCGTGAGTTCTTTTTAGCTGAGAGTCTGGAGGTTGGCTTGATTGCTTCAGAGCCAGCAAACTTTCATGCTCAGGGACATAGCTCTCCCATCATCAGAGCTCTTGGGACTTCCACTGTAAGTGCAGGACTCAGTACTCTGAACTTAGGTCCTGAGGCTATCACCATATTTGCACAAAATCCTTTGGAAGGACACTCACCGGCAACCAGCTCAGATCCTCCTTTCTCTGATTGGACATCAAAAATAGGTTGACTTGTGTTCAGGGGCTGCACAGTGTGAAACCCTTGGGCCTTCGAAGGATAGAACTGCATGCTGTACTGCATGTCATTCTTGCTACAGGAAGCACTTGGGTCTGAAGGCAAATGAAGCAATGGTGTGCTCAAACTTCTCAGCAGCACATGCTTCATACAACCAGACTTAGCTGTCACATGGAAGGCATGGTTGGATTGCCTGTGCTGAGGGGGCGTTCTCTGAGACCCTTTCATTCCCCCTGCAGCATTTTCCACCGGGGAGTCCAGGAGCTTAAGCAGGTGGAGAACATCAGCCGCTCGCCTTGGTTCTCTCATATCACCTCGTCCATGCAGGGTCTGGGTGTCATCCATGCCTATGACAAAAAGGACGATTGCATCAGCAAGTGAGTAGATGGGTCCCTGCTCCAGGGTCTCCCCACCTCATGCCTCAGCCCAAATTGGGGGCCCCAGGCTTCTTTGGCAATGAGAGGGGAAATATTGGGGACAGGTAAAGGGTTGGCCAAACAGGAGTTCTATTTCAGTATTTGGGGCCCTAAAAGATACATGACTATGAGTGTGTGTGTGTGTGTGTGTGTGTGTGTGTTTATGTGTGTGTGTTTGTATGTGTGTGTGTAAAGAGAGAGGGACAGACAGAGAGAGAGGAGGAGGAGGGGAGAGTAGAGGAGGAGAGAGAGGACATGTATGTGTCATGCTGGGGATGAACATGAATATATATGTGTGTGTGTATAATTTTTTGCTTGTGTGTTCAATTTAGGAAAATACAGAAAACAGAAAGTATGTCCCATATTCCGGTCTTGCTCATATTTTCATTTACATACTGTTGAAGACAGATGTTTCTGTGGGTCCCGTCACCCTTCATTCCCAAATAAATACGCAGAGGCTTATATTAATTATAAGCTGTTTGGCTGATGGCCTAGGCTTCTTACTGGCTAGCTCTCTCTTAATTACTAACCCATTTCTATTAATCTAAGCATTTCCACCTGGTCTTGGTTTACCGGAGAATGCCTGGCATCATATCATCCCGGTAGCTACACAGCCTCTCCCTCAAGACTCTCTCTCTGTCATCTCTTCCAGCATTCTCCTAGTCTGATAGCCCTGCCTATACTTCCTGCCTGGCTACTGGTCAATCAGCATTTATGCATCAACCAATAAGAGAAACATATACTCACAGCATACAGCCAGACATCTTCCATCACACTGTATGCATACATTGAAAATCCAAAATCTGAAAAGCTCTGAAATCCTAAACCTTTTGAATACTGTTGTGATGCTGCAAAGGGGAAATCTCACACTCGATCTCAAGTGACAGGCTATAGCCAAGACAAAGGCACAGTCAAAACATGTATGAAAATTACCTGCAGACCGCCTGTCCTGGTGGAACAAATCTGTGGTCCCAGCTACCAACGAGGCTGAGCCAGGAGGATTCAGCCTTGGCTACAGAGCCAGTTCAGACAGCCTGTGCATCTTAGTGAGACCGCAGTGAGACTTAGTGTCTCAAAAAGTTAAGAAAAAGACCTAGGGGTATAGCTCAGTGGTTGAGTGTTGCTTAACCTGTGCAAGGCCCTGCTTGAAGTCCCCAGCACTGCAAGATAAAATAAAGCAAACAAGCAAATAGCCTGCTGCTCTGTAGATAAACTTGTTATTCATTCTCAAGCTTTCTCGTTGTGCATACACAAATAGTCCAGGATTGATAAAAGAAATTCTCATTATGGCTGGAGAGATGGCTGAAGAGCACTGGCTGCTCTTTCAGAGGACCTGGTTTTGATTCTGATTCCCAGCTCATGGTAACTCACAATCATCAGGGACTATGGTTCTAGAGGACACAATTTCCTCTTCTGGCCTCCACAGACACCATGTATGCACGTCATGCCAGACATACAAGCAGGCAAAACACCTATACATATAAAATAATTAAGTTAATTAATTAATTGATTTTATTTAAAAAGTTCCAAATTGGAAACATTTCTGGTCCTAAGCACTTTAGACAAAGAGATATTAAACTTTTATATCTCTTCCTATTCTTTTATTTTTCAACTCACAAGGTTTTCCTTTTAAAGGTTACTTTGGATATGACTTTCATAATATTGAGTGTTCTTTTACAATAAACACATATTTTATTAACTCTTTAAGAATTTCATACAATATATTTTTATCATATTCACCCTCCAAAACCCAACTCTTCCCATATCCATCCTCCCCTCCCTCCCCACCCAGCTTTGAGTTTCCTTCCTTTTTTCTTTTATAATCCTATCAAGTTCAATTCATATTTTTCAACTAGTCTTTGGAGCAAGACCTGTCTCTGAGTGTAGTTACCCTGCCAGAAGTCACCTCATTTCCAAAACTGACTCTCTCTCTTTCCCAGTAGCTACCAAATGCCAATGGCCTCTCAGCTAGTGGTAGGATTTCATCCCTCCCCCCCCCTTTTCTCTCTCTCACGCTGGGGTTTTGTCTAACATGAGCTTGTGCATGCTGTCACAACCACAGGGAGTTCACATATGCACCTGCTCTGTTGTGTCTGGAAGAGGCTTTGTTTGCTGCTTTCCACCACCTGTGGCTCTTTTAATCTTTCTACACTCTTTTCCAAGAAGGTTCTGTGTAGAAGGGTGTGATAAGTATGTCCTATGTAGGGCTGAGCACTCCACAATCTTTTATTCTCTGTATGTTGTGGACCAGTTGAGGGTCTTTGTGCTAATTCTCATCTACAGCAATGAGAAGCTTCCCTAATGAGAGTTGAGAGATATGCTGGTCTATGCATATATCAAACTACTCCTGTATGTATAGCTGACTAGTTGAGACATGGTCTTGATAAGCAGCCTAGGTCAGCCTGTAATTTGCAGTCATGCATCTGCTCCCAAAGGGGTTAGGGTTATAGGTACAAGCCACTATGCCCAAGTTCATAAAACTAATTGTTTAAGTCTACATTTATTTATTTGTGGATAGGCCAGTTTCCTGCTTTTCAAAACTTGAAGACTAGATTGGTTGAGTCATGTAGCTTCAGATTTCTAACATACTAGAGTAAGTCACGACTTCCCAGTGAGATGGTGGACTAGAAGCTGCGGCAGTGTGACATCATGAAGAAGAAGGATCAGAACAAAATGAGAGGAGGAACTCCAAAAATCCATGGAGGTGGTGACAGGAGATCTAAAAAGTACAAAGAAAGGGATGGATGACAAAGGATGGGTGTCCCATGAGATAGAAACCACTACTGTTCAGCTTGCAGGGCTTTCCTAGTGGAAAACAGAAGACTTCCTAAAAGTGTCATGGGCATTCTAGCCCTTGAAAGTTGGCTGCTGAATTAGGGAGGGAGGGCACAGATTAGGCCAGTGAGGGGAGGGAATGAGTTATAATGACATGTATCATCTTCACAGATGCCAAGGTAACCTAAAAAAAAAAAAAAAATCAGTTGTTCCATATGAAGATCCCCAAATAAAATTAGAAGAGATATCAAAACAATAGATATGCAAATGTTGCCACAGAAAGAGAAGAAATAAGATAAAGCCTGGCACAATGACTCCACAAGTTGTAATTCTTCTGCTGGTGACTCAGAAAACAGAGAAATAGGTAAAAGGCCTGGCTAGACTTTCAAAAGTGTCCTAGCAAATAATGCACTACCTGAAGGAGTACAGAAACAAGCAGATGGAGTCTTTGGAAAGGACAAGTAGAGGAGAAAAAAAAAAAAAAAACCCAAGAAGTTGGCCAAGAAAATCAGCAAAATGGATGAAGAGAAATTAATCAAGCAAACAAAGTTAGACACCAATCAATCGGTGATTCAAATAAAAATACCATAGAAAGGATTGCCAACAGATGTGATGAGGCAGGAAAAGAGCATTGGAAATGGAGGACAAGGGTTGGAAAAATCCTATACTTAAGATCAATAAGGAAAGAAAAAGTGAATGAGCATGACCACCACCACAGCAGCCAAGAACTCTGGGATGCTATCAAAAGGCCAGAATTAAGAGGAAGGTGCTGAGATAAAAACTAAGGGAATAATCCACTCAGTGAAATCATAGTGGAAAATCCACCCCCAAGATCTACAAAGAAATAGATATCTGAAGTCAAGATAGGTTCAAAAATCCAAATAGACACGACCACAAAAGAACTTCTGCCTGGCATTGTAGGATGTCAGAAATACAAGGCCAAGAAATAGCAATTACAACTTCTAAGAGGAAAATACCAACTCACCTACAAAGGCCTAAACGTAAACACTAGATCTCTTGTCAGCAACTCTAGCTGGAAAAGCATGGGATGATGTATTTCAAGCCCTAAAGGCAAGCAACCTCTAACCGACATTGCTATGTCCAGGAAAGTTTTTAAAACTGATGCTGAAATCAATGTCGGGAAAGCACAAACTGTGGTGGTTCATGACAGACAGGCCAGTACTACAGATGATACTTATAAGCATGTCATATGCAAAGAAAGAGGAAAACCTGTCTTAGCCACAAGAGCACAAGAGAAAAAGAATCAGATCAGGGATCAACGGAGGCTCAGGCCTCTAATCCTAGCACTTGGGTGCTAGGTCAAGAAAGAGCCCATCACTGGTTCACAAGGATGGAAGTATACTCAGCAATTAAAACCTGTTAAGCAACAGCCTACAATTAGAATATTTGGAAATTATATAGGCAGTGGTGGAACATGCTACTTTAATCCTTGGATTTGGGAGGTAGAGGTGGGCAGATCTCCGAGGCCAGCCTGGTCTACAGAGTGACTTCTAGGCCAACCAGAGCTGATACATAAAGAAATCCTATCTCAGGCCCCCCCCCCCCGCCAAATCTTGAGAGCACAGATAAAACAAATATCAATACTAGTTTGTAGAGGAGAAAGAATACAACAATTCATTCAACTAGAAAACAGCCATAGAAAAATTTACAGGAATTGGTAAACATCTCTTCATAATACATAATGTAAATGACCTCAGTTCATCAATTAAAATGTTCAGACCAACTGAGAAGATTTAAGAAATTAGATTCAAACAGGCACAGTGCTGTAGGCTGTTATCCTAGTATATGGGAAGCAGAGGAAGGGAGGACCAAGGTTCAAGGTTGCCCTGGGGTAACCTTGGCTTCCTGAGATTCGGTCTGAAAATAACAAAAAGAAGCAAAATCACCCCCCTCCCAAATACACACCAGGAAAATTAGATTTGATTATCTGTTGTCACCAAGAAACATACCTCACAGGTAAGGACACCCAGAGGCTGAAGGTCTAGAGCTGGAAGGCGATTTATTAATGGTACAGAAACAGAAAAGAAGCTGGCATCATTATCCTCATACCTGATAAAGAAGGCTTCATGTGAAAATTAGAAAAGACAAAGCGGGAGCCACATACTAATAAAGTGAGTGGTCTGTCAAGAGGCCACGTTGAGGGCTGTGATGGTCAATAGTGACATTCCGATGCAGTCCATGTTGGCAATCTAATGGAGGCATTTTCTCAATTGACGTTTTTTCTTCCTGGATGACTCAAGCGTATGTCAAAGTTGACAAAGACAAAAACAAACAAACAAAAACCCAAGCAGGACAGGGGCCATTGTTATAATAATCTTGAGTGTGCAGTTCTTAGGTTTTTGGAACTATTTTATGGCTAGAATGCGGAAGAGTTTGATCTTAACACAGCGAATGTGTATTCTTCCTCAGGTCATAACTTAATGAGGGCCTACAGCACAGGCAGCAGTTTCTCCACAGAGTCTCAGTCACTTTGCTTTTCCTTCTCAAAGGTCTTAGAAAGAGAAAGGGGGACAGGGAAGTGGTAGGCCCCATGGAAATGTTTTTATTTCTGAACTCCCGTGAGTAGACCCAGTCTTTTTGCAAGTTCAATGGCAGGATTTCAGTCACACAGATTTACCTACTCATAGGATTCTGGGTAAGTGACAGAGGAGTCTGATAAACTTTTAGTTGTCTCTACCAATAAGACCCCTTTCCCTATTCTTAAAATAGCTAATATATGCCGGGCAAGGTGGCTCAGTCCTGTAATCACAGCGCTTAGAGGGCTGAGGCAGGAGGATTGCAAGTTTGAGGCTAGCCTGAGCTACATAACAATACTATGTCTCCAAAGAAAAGAGGAGTGGGAAAGGGAGGAATAGGAGTGGAGGGGCGGTGCAGGGAGGAGGGAGGAGCTAACAATGTACACATGTTTTCATCCAGTCTGATCTCTTTCTCCCACTGTGTTCTCAGTTTCCCCAAGGATCTCGGTGGAGCCTTGTCTTTGGTCTTCATTTGTCTTTGGTCTAGTCAGCAGTTAGTCCTTGTCACCAGTTAGTTTGTGTTTTGTTGTTTTTGTTATTATTTCATTATTATTTTTGATGCAGGGTTTCTCTATGTAGCCCTGGCTGCCTTGGAACTCGTTGTATAGACAAGACTGGCCTCAAGCTCAGAGATCTGACTGTCTCCGTCTCCCAAGTGCTGGTATTAAAGGCATGTGCCACCACTGCCCAGCTATTAGTTTGCTTCTTGGTGCTATTTGTCTAGAGTCCTGCATCACACAGGTCCCTCTGATGTCCAGATCACGAAGAACCAGAGAACCATCCAGCTCTTTGACCTGAGCAAACAAAACAGATTGACACTGTTTTCCCATAGCTTTTTCTTCAAGTTCCTGGCATAGTGAACTTAGCCTCACATGACTGACAGGGTCTCCCCTCTTGCTTTTGGGAGAGCTCTGACTTCTGACATATATTGTACTTGCCACCAGACAAGCAGAAAGATTGTGGTGTTTGGGAAAGTGTTTTCACCAAGCCCTCGTCAAAACAGAAACATGCAAACCAACAATGACTAACTAGAGTGGAGACAGACTAGGAGATATGATGGTGAGTGGAAGAGTTGTGTCTTTTAGGAGTTCAGCCTTGAAGGATTTTCCTTTTCTTCCCACAGTTCCCACCAATTGTTCAAAAGAAAGGCAAAACAATACAAAACAAAGCCCTTCCCAATGGGTCAAGGTCCCTTTAGTGTGCCAAGGAATGGGATGTCTGTCTCACCTAGCTAGCCTAAAATTTCAGTCTCTGATACAGATTTTTCTGCCTAGAGGCTTGGTACAGTAGGCTGTGCTCTGTGTGCACATGTGTGCACATGTGTGTGCCTGCCTGTGTGTGTGTATGAGTGTGTGTGTGTGTGTGTGTGTGTGTGTGTAAACTAGTGAGTGTTAAGGATAAGAGACAGGTGAGGTAGCTCTCTGAGCTGGGTTCTCTGAAGCTCCCATAGGGGGAGCTAGGGGAAAGGACCAGGAGGGAGCATCCCTGCATGACTACTCACACCCCATCTAGTCTCTCCTTCCTACTGACCCAGTTTCCTATGCAGATGCAGTATGGCAGAGTGAAGGCTCCAATACAACCCAACCACACACAGCTCTGCCTGACATAGCTGTTTGCACTGTGCCTGGCAGCACCCCACTGCATTCCTTAGATGTGGCCTCCTCTGCCTGCTGTTACAGAGGCAGCTTGAATGTCACTTTTGCTCTGTACCTTCAGCTCTAAACTTCAGGGACTGTCAAGATGCCCTGTGCTCATGTCAGGGGGATGAGTGGGAACGACTGCGTCCAGGGGTGGGCCTTGTCTTGGGTCTCCTGGCTATGCCATCTTTCTGTCATTCTGCTCCGTCCAAAGCCTTGGGACCCAATGGGCATGCAACATGGGCACAGGACATCAGTTCCTGTCCTTGAAGGGACACCTCCTGTCCTGTCAGTCTTTTAAGCAGTGATTTGGTTGGTTGACTGACTTTGAGATGGGATCTTGCCTTGTAGCCCAGGCTGGCCTCAGACTTCTGACTCTTCTACCTTATCCTATCAAGTGCTGGGGTCACAGGTGTGTGCCATTATACCAGGCTCTTGGTGAGGGCTGGGATAGCGTAGCAGGCAAATGCCCTCCCTTCCTACTCTATCACTACCACCATTGGCTACCCCTGTCTTTAAGACCTAAGGAGCCATTTATGGATTTCTCGAGGCCTGTGGGTATTGTGAAGCTACAGCATGAGGTTTTCAACAGTTTTGGTTTGGGCTGTGGGCTCTAATTTGCTAGCTCTGGGAGAGGCAGAAAGAGCCCACTAAGCACCCTTGTCGACTGCGACATGAAATTTCTCAGAATGTGTTCAAATGAAAGATGCCTATGGTGCAGCAGGAACATGGATATATCTCATTTTTTGTAACAGTCACCTTGCAAGAAGGCGTTCACAATGCCCGGTCTTGGCTCCCATCAGTGCCAGCAGGACCTGAGCACCTATTTCCTCTGATTTTTCAACTTTAGGTTTAAGACACTAAACGATGAGAACTCCAGCCACCTCCTGTACTTCAACTGTGCTCTCAGGTGGTTTGCTCTCAGAATGGATATCCTCATGAACATCGTCACCTTCGTTGTGGCCTTGTTGGTGACCCTGAGCTTTTCTTCAATCAGTGCTTCATCCAAGGGCTTGTCATTGTCTTACATCATCCAGGTAACAGCTGGTGCACGGTGGAACTTGGCCTATGGAGTATTAGAAGGGGATACTTTTAGATGGATGCAGCAGAAAACTCAAAAAAAAAAAAAAAAGGTTCAAAAATGGAGCTTAGCCATACTCATCATTGATATTTGGGGCAGTTTTGTGGGCTTCAGGCACAGTTGGATCTTGGCTCCTGGTTTTGTCCCTTTCTGTGATGCCTCCCTCATAGTTGTACAGGGGGTGACAAATGGTCTCTGAGATCTATAGGAAGAGGAAACAGTGGGGACCATTTCCCACCATTGCTAGTCAACAAAAGTCCAGACTTTATTCTTACTGGATGGATTTAGGCATCCAACTACTAATTAGTGTTTGGTAGGAGCAGAGTGATTGATTTGGGCCAAGGTGGGGAGTCACATTCCATCTCAAATCACACAGCTGCTTCACAGTGGGTCTAGAAGCAAGTACAGTTTCTGGCAAATGATTAGGAACAGGCTCTTGGCTGCTTGAGGGCCGTTTTCCTTTAATAATAATGCAAGAGGAGAGCACACAGCACTCCCTGTCCTGCATGGGCCACTGTAAATGACTTCCTCCACTGCTCTTAGTAACCCTGGGATGTTCCTGTGAGTCTCACTTTCAGATAAATGAGACCCAGAGAGGCTGATATCTGTGCTGCATGATTTAATCTAAGGTTGGTTGGTCCTTGAACCTTGTGCCTGGGAGTGTGCTTTTCAGGTCTTGTCTGGAACCTTCTCCATTGAGTCCATGCATATCAGAACAGATTTTCTGGATGTTGGAGTTTTAAAACAGACTCTGTTCACTAGTGTGTTTATTTATTTGTTTGTCTTAGTTTTGAGGCAAGTTTGAGAGCTTCCTGCCTCAGGCTCCCGGTGCTGGGATTATAAGCGTGCTCTGCCACATTCCTCCCTGTTCCACAATGCTCTGGGTCCATTCAGATGAAAATCAAATCTCTTCTCCACTCAGAAAACGTTCCCCCTTCCTTGTTTAGGAGAGGGCATTGGATCCCCGGAATTAGAGTTACAGATGGTTGTGAGCCAACATGTGAATACTGGGAATTAAACCCAGGTCCTCTGGAAGAGCAGCCAGTGCTTTTAACCTCTGAGCCATCTCTGGCCCCAGTCTTCTGCCTTTGCCTCCTCATCTGGACAATTTCCTCCTGTTTCGTTTCCTGGGAATTTCCCTCAGCTTTGTGATCCAGCCATGCTTTTGAATTTTCATTGTGGCAACCATGTATCCATGCATCCAATGTCCATGTGCTGTCATTCTCTCAGTCTTTAAATGACTGGAATATGTCTTTTACTTCTTCTAGGGATACTAATACTAACTCCCCACCCACCCACCCACCCACACACACACACAACTTTCCCGTCTTCTTTAATTATACCTGTTTTCTCCAGGGTCAGTTTTTCTACTTGTTTATGCAGTTCTTGCTCTTGGCTGCCCTTGGTTTGTTTATCTCTCTCTGCAGTCATTTGTTTTTAAGGATGGGAGAACAATTTGGCTTTTCAGCATGGCTCTGTGGTTCCCCTCCTGGGATAGTTTCTAACTCTACAGGGGCTGGAGTGGGAGTGTTCATTTTTTAAAAATATTTTTTATACATTTGCTTCCCTTTCCCAAAGTAGCCAAGGAGCGGGCCTGTAGGCACTAAACACTATAACTGAAGTGTTTTGTTTTGTTTCTCCCCTAGAGTAATATTTGTAGAGCCCCATGCCCCATATACTCCCAGGTCGTCAACTCACTGTCTCTAGGAAAGGTTGCAAGTGTGCATAGATGGGTTCGCCAGGGCAGCTGCCCCTAGAGAGACCACCAATCAGCCTGCCTCTTTGTGGCCCCCTTCTCACACCTTGAGTCCCTGGGGCTCTGCTTTAAACTCCAGAAACACCTTTGCTTTTCATTTTAGCAGAGGTGCTCATCCGATGTCCTCTGCCAGCAATGTGTGACTCTCATGCATTGGGATGCCTCCCATCCTCTGGATGTGGAAGGTGTTCTTTCTGAAGACATCTCTGGTGTCGTTTTACTAGTATGTTGGGATGGAAGCTAGAGAGAGTGTATGCACTGATGACCTGACCCCTCCATTGTATGGTTAAGAGGAAGGCGTCTGTATTGTAGGTATGTGAGATGACAGGAGCTGGGGGAAGTTAAGGAGAGAGGGTGACAAGGACTAGAATGCAGGACAGACTTTGAACTGTGGGCATCAGGCACAAGCTGTACTGAGAGGGCCTGGGTGGCAGCGTGGGCTTTGATATGCGAATGGACACCACAGGTAGCCATGTGTCCCTTCTGCCAGAGGTAAGGGAAAGGACTCCTTCTGGTAGGTGGGAGCCAGCTTCTTCACAAGTTCCTGAGGAATTCTGGCTTTTATGTAACTGCCAGAAATCCTCCTATAATCCAGGTTGAGCTCATTTCTGCATATTTTGGACTGGCTTTTGGAGCTTGGGGAACTGGAGTTTCTTTGGGGCCTAACAGAGACAACTTCAGTGCTCTGAGGTGGGAAAATGAATCTTGCTTGGGTAACGCAGAATTTGTGTGTACTGAGGCGTGCTAGTGCCTGCTCTCCAGCGGGCCTTCCTGACACCGGTCCTGTCTGGAGAACACGGAATCCAAGTGTTGAGAATGGAAGGAACTCCCTAGAGAGACACAAACCCAGTGCAGCAGAGCATAGGGCAGGTGGTGAGTGCTAAGTGAGTGCACTATGTGTAGTGCAATGGAGGACTTGTGCTTACTTGGGTCTGCACTGTGCCCATATGGGGATTCTAGACCTGGGTGGGCTGCCAGGCATATAGGAGCTGATACTGTCATATGTAGCAGAACATATCTGTGCCCTTCTCAGGAGCAATGTGCACTCTCTCTCTGAGAAGCTGGCATGAGGCAGGGCTATATGCTGGTTGCTGTAGTTTTGCAGTTGGCCATCTGGGCACATGCAGCCCACCAGGCCTTGGGTTCAGGCACACAGCTCAAATGAGGTTTTGCCCCAAGGGAGGGGATGGGGACAAAATCACTCAGGTTAAAGCCCAAGAGAAATGGGAAGCCCTGGGTCTGTGTTAAGCTGGGAAGGTGGCAAGGGCCTGCAGAGAAAAGCTCTCTGAGGTCATGGAGGGGCCTCCTCACCTGTTAACCTCTTAGCCCACCTCTCCCTGCCCCCCTTCTCCCATCCCCTGTGGGTTCTGACTGCACTGCCCCCTTCCTATGAAAGCCAGGTTGCTTACCAGTGCTTTCTTAGACTCCCTGCAAATACAACATCATACTCAAGTCTTGAGCTTCTGTAGATTTGGGTGTCAGCAAGGGGTGGTGCCAAAGAGTACCAAAGATCCCACTCCCTAAGACGCCACACCGACGAGGGACAAGTGTGAAGATCCCAGTGTCCTTGGCTTGTCGTGGTGCATTTGAGCAGTCTCTCAGAAGTCCCAGGCAGGATGGGTCTCAGAGGCTTCCAGTGCTAAAGTCTCAGGAGCATGCTACAATAGCCCCTTCCAGTTTCTCCTGTGTGTTCTCTTACCTTTTGGACTAACAGTCTGTAGTCATTTGCTTAGCTACTGGAACAAATCCCCAAGAGCTTGGCGGCTTAAACAAGAGGAATTTATTTTCTCACCGTGTCGGAGGTCCAGAGTCTACAGCGTCCACCGTCAAGGCCGCTTTTCTCTTTAGGCTCCGGGGAACTATTACATTTTTGTTGTGCTCCCAGAGGTTGGTGGCATTTCCTGGCTTGGAATAGCACTCCTTTAATTTAACTTCTGCGTCTTTTCTGTCTTCCTTTCCCCTCCTCTTCTGGATCTTTCCCATTTTTTAAAATTTAAATTAGGATCCAACCAGGCACTCAGGGTGTTTAGTCATAGCTGCAGAGGTCCTTTTCCAAACAGGATAACATTCTTGGCTTCTAGAGTCTTGGACTTGGAAGGATGCAGTGGGGGAGAAGGCATAGCCCAACCTGCTCAAGTTACTGCTTGGACTCAGATCTTGGAGTTAGATTCTGGGGGATCCTGGCCTAAAGCGGGTCCCCTTGGCAAACTATCTCTCCCAGTCTGGATCCTGGAGCGGGTGTGTAAGGGTGGCTTTTCTGTCCCCGATGTGGGGGGTTAAGGAGTGGGAGCGGGATGCAGGGCCCCACCAGGTGGCAGCAAGGAGCCAACCCCTAGCAGTTTGGCTCTGGGGCTGAGTCCTCCTCCCCAGGCGGTGGGGACTGGCTCACAAGAGGGATCAAGGTGGTGGGATGATTCTCACCATCTGGAATGAGGGAGAAAATGTAAATACCATTTGTTTTTAAATACAAAGGAAGTGTTTAAATGCAAAACATCCCAACAGAAAATGTGGCCTTCTGTGTTCCTGGCTGGGACAACTGCAAGCCTCTTATATGTGTTGCTCGAGCCAAAGTAGTAATTTGAAGAGGCAGACTTAAAAAAAAAAAAAAAAAGGGTAAAACAGCTGGTTTACTGGGGACCTTCAGTAGCCACCTGGTTCTTCCCAACAGCTCAGTGGACTGCTTCAAGTATGTGTGCGAACAGGAACTGAGACCCAAGCCAAGTTCACATCTGTGGAGCTGCTGAGGGAGTACATTTCGGTAAGGAACGCGTGAATAGCGGGAAGCAGCAGGCTCTTCCCATCGGGCGTGTTTTGATTTTTCTTTAATGATTTATATAAATTTTAAGTGTGTGTGTGTGTGTGTGTGTGTGTGTGTGTGTGTGTGTGTGTGTATGTGTGACAGAGAGAGAGAGAGAGGAGAGAGAGGAGAGAGAGAGAGTCCGTCCATGGAAGCCAGATGTGTTGGGAGCTATAGTTTTAGATGGTTGTAAGCCACCCAGTGTGGGTGCTGGGAATCAAACTCTGGTCCTCTGGAAGAGCAATCGCATTTTAACCTCAGAGCCATCTCTCCCCAGTTCTGCTCTTTCCTCTTTTTTAGTATGTGAATGGGATCCATTTAATAACTGGAATCTGTCTTGTCCTGTTAAAGCCTGTATTCACAATCCATTCCAAAATTCAGTGCCTCGCTAAGGTTTCTGAAAATTAATATTTGATTAAAGTTATAAATAGCAAAAGAAGATGAGTTCACCTCTTCTTTGAAAGCTTTTCTGTGCAATGTAGGAAAGCAGCTGCTCTGGGAAAGGACGTCTACACAAACCCAGCAGTCACGTTTGTGGGCTTTTGGATAGTGTTTGGCCCCATTTAGAAGCTTTACTCAACACTCATAAACATTTTAAAATTCAGCATATTCACTTTCCTGTTTAAAATGCCCCCATGAACTGCCTTAACACACAATCCTTCGTGGGTGTGTGCGTGTCTAATTGAGCTTGTGAATGTAGTGGGCTTGGTATTCTTGTGACAGTTCCATACGTAAGCAGAAAGCTTTAGACTTAAAATCACATTTAAACTAACCACCAAATTCTGTAAATACTGCAAATATTTTGAGCATAAAATAAACAGATTCCTTAAACTAAAAACATTGCTAGTGCAGTATTGGTTCTCTTTAAATACCTTTTTAATCCCAAATCTTCTAAGGGTTTAAAATACCCTCAAAGAAGGCAAATGTTTTCTCAGCTAATTGGGGTCATTTATTGGGCTGGCCAGTCACCCTGATGGAACACAGGGGGGACTCCTCAGCAGTGGGAGGGATGTCCTAATGTGAGATGGAACCAGCTTTGTGTTCATTCAGTTGTGAGGTTTGGGGTGCATATGAAGAAAAGTTCAGGTGTTTTTCTGCTGAGCTCTGCAGACCCTTGAGCTTGACCCTCCTCACTCTGCCCTCTTCCTATTCCTAGCACCGTGATGACTTTTGTAGACACTGAAATTAGATTGATTCTGCAAGTCTCAAGGTTCGCCCTGGATTTGTCCCACAGCTTCAAGGTCATCATGCTGACACTAACCCAGGCCGCATGGCTCAGTGTGAGCTGTCTCCTGCCTATCCTCCTAAGCCACCCATCGTTCCTGCACTAAGCTCCAGCCCTATGGGACTTTTCTTTTCATTCCTGGAGTTACTCAAGGTTCTTCTGGGTGCCAGACATTTGCATACCTGTCCTCCTTGTCTGGAAGGTCCTGGACAGAAACCCATTCTAGTGTCACATCCTCAGAGATGCCCTCTTCAACCTTCACATAATTTTATTCTGCTTGCTGCTACCTGCTGAATAAGTCACTTTCTGTATTTGCTTGCGATACTTTTTTCTTTTCTTTTTCTTTTTTTAACCTAATGTACCCCACTGAAACATTGCCTGCTTTTTTTTTTTTTAATGGAGTATCAACAGCCCATGCTGTTGAGGAACTCTCAATCCTCCTGCATCAGCTTCCCAAATGCTATAATTACAGGCATGCAGCTCCACACTGGGCAGAATGTAAGTTCCTTGAGTACAGGGTTATGGATCTCATTCACCACCACAGGCACCCCAGCATTGACAGCTGTGGGATGGGTGAGCTAAGTCAGTGGAAACCAGTGGCGGTCGAGTTGGTCAATGGCTGTTCTACTTTTCAGACCTGTGTTCCTGAACACACTCACCTCTTCAAAGTGGGGACCTGTCCCAAAGACTGGCCAAGCCGTGGGGAGATAACTTTCAAGGACTATCACATGAGATACAGAGACAACACCCCTCTCGTTCTCGATGGGCTGAACTTGAACATCCAAAGTGGGCAGACAGTTGGGATTGTGGGAAGAACAGGTTCTGGTGAGAACAAACTCTGCATTTATTTTTGGGGGATGTTTGTTTGAATTTGCACTGGATGAGCTGGTTAAGCCACATCAGAGAGATACACATGAGTTCTGGATTCATCGTTATTTCTCCCTCAAATCTCTTTACTATAAATTAGGGTTTCAGGTTGATTGGGTGTGGAGAGTTGGGAGCAAATACATAGTTTTTGAATTAATTAAATGCGAATAATTCTGGAGAAATGAGTCCCAGAAGATGAGTTATGTGCTGAAGGCCTCTGCAGGGATTGGCAGGTTAATGGTGTTAGGGCAGCCTGGTCCCCCAGAGTGAGGGATGTCTGCCTGCAAAGTCATCCACATGGAGCCAGTCTCATTACATTGGAAATTCCCTTAATTAAATGCTTGGACATGATGGAAATGAAAACTGCTGTTGGATTTGTTGTCCCTGCTCTTAATTGTCCCCAGGAAAATCGTCACTGGGCATGGCCCTGTTTCGTCTGGTGGAGCCAGCCTCTGGTACCATTTTCATCGATGAGGTGGACATCTGCACTGTGGGTTTGGAGGACCTCCGAACCAAGCTGACCATGATCCCCCAAGATCCTGTCCTGTTTGTAGGTACAGTAAGGTAGCTGTTTTCGATCATCGTGCATTCCTGTTTGGAGATGGTGAACTGAGCCAACCAGTAGCTGAGAAATTGCCAGGCCATGCTGTTCTTGGCAGTCTTAGCTCAAGGAACTGGCCTGCACAGGCGCTCAGAAGCCCTGCCTGTATCTGGTTTGTAGTAAAGCTTTAGAAGGAGCCAAGGAACAGTGTCCTGAGTCTTGTTAAAATTTCAGAAACTCTATTATTACAATATTATATCATCATGTTATTAACATCAACATATTATTATTAGTGATATTAATAGTTGTAATAACATTAGCAATACTACTATTAGTGATTCTATCATGCATAGATTGAGCAGATATCACAGTTGGCCCAAACAGCCCTATGTTATGCCTGTGTTCTGGCATTACACCAGGGTTAGCAATGGCCACTCTCAAAAGTGCCCCCGAGTACACTCCCTGGCCTGTGTGTGTAGCAGGCTTTTGGCAAGTACATTAGTTATTACTGCTACAGAATAAAAAAAACTGACCAAGTACAAGGTGAAGATGTGACTTACACAGACAAGATCTTATGTCAAAGATCAAGGGGACCTAGTATCTCAGCTGGTCCAGGGAAAGGGAAAAGTTCTCCCACTAGGAATTTGAAGAAATAGGGAGATTCTATCTACTTAAAGCTGATCATATTAGTGATACAATATGCACCTCAAAACACTCGATTTGCATTCATGGGTGGGCCCCGAATCTTCAGGGATGCTGAGGCAAGCTTCCCCACCCCCCCCTTCTTGGCCCAGAACTTGTATAAGGTCTAACATGCTTTGTTGTATCTTGATCTGTGGACCTTGGTGTGGTTGAGCGTGGTCTGCCTCCTGGTGGTGTTTCCCATTCCTGCCCATCTCTAAGGTCTCTTTCTGCTCCATCACAGAGAGTTGTGGGTCCTTGGTCTTGTGGCCTGGGCTAAGCAGGCTGCTACCTTCATACATATTGTTGTCCCTCAAGACGCTATGGGGAAGAGAATGCATCCTTATCTTTTATAGCTCTAGAGGCTACCCGAGGGCCTTCCTGACATCACATTTCCTCCCCATCTTCTCATCTTCACCGTGCTCACCACTGTCTCATCCTTGAAAGTCCAGCTTGCTTCTCTTTGCTTCATCACAGGTACAACTTGGACCCCTTGGGGAGTCATACTGATGAGATGCTCTGGCATGTTTTGGAGAGAACATTCATGAGAGACACAGTAGGTATCCAGGGCTGTCCAGCATGAGTTCCTTCCAAACACCTCTGCCCCAGATACCTGTCCCCATGGCCAGGTTTATTTGCAGGAGTGACATAGGTCAGTGAAATTCAATGCTTACCTGCTCCTGATTATTAAAACAACCACAGTACAATTTGTTAGCTCTCTAGTTGATCTAGGCACCAGCTCTATGTGCATCATCTCTCTTGGTCCTCTGCATAGCCCTCAGAGGCTGGTGCTATCTATTAAAGTAACTTGCCCATGCCAATGAGGAACATGATGGAGACTTGAACCCAGGTCCATCTGGGTCCAGAGCGAAGGAGGGCCGTATTATTTGGTCTGCGGCCTCATTTGCTTTATCAGAACTGAATGATGAATGAGTGTAGCTTGTTCTAGGATTGCAAGTGTGGCTGATTTGAGTCCTGTTAGGAGCTGCAGCCCCAGCTGAGGTTAGTAGCCCCAGGATGCCAAGGCAAGCATCCCCCCAAAGCCACTTCAGCTAGTTGTGTGATGGATACACAGACTTTGTCTCAACCTTCTGGAAAACTCTCTGGTCCCATCTCTCTTTTATCCATGAAAATCACAACCTGAAGCCCACTTACATTTACTTAAATGTTCTCTAGAAGTATATGTGTGATTTTTCCTTTTTGGTGAGTCACAATGTCTTTTCATTATTAACATCTCCCTCGCCCTGGCCCTCCCTAGTGCCTGTTTGCAGTATTGAAATGATTGCTGTTTTGCACTTTCTTTCCCATTGTAAAATAAAGCAAGCTGATGAATGCAAGAGGAGGGGGCAATCAATAAGACGACACGGGACAATTTTATAGATCATCAGCATAAATGTGTCATTTTCTGTGTTTTATAGATAATGAAACTCCCAGAGAAATTACAGGCAGAAGTCACAGAAAATGGGGAAAACTTCTCAGTAGGGGAACGCCAGCTGCTTTGTATGGCCCGAGCACTTCTCCGTAATTCAAAAGTAAGGGAGCAGCGAGGAAAATGGATTGGTCAAATTTTGGATATTCCCTACGGTGCCACTCAATCCAGGAGGCAGAGGCACAAGCTTGTCTTTCAGCAAAGACAGAGCAATGCAGTAATTTAAAAACGGATCACTTTCTCTTAAGACAAAGTTGTGAGGGGTAAAAATTGAAAATTACAGCCATTTCTAGGAGCAGCACCTTCCTTACCCGGGCTTCACCTTGGGAGGTCTGGCTTATGTATTCTCTCCACTCTCCTAGGGGGCTTGAGTTTGAAAAGTGGGCTCTCAACTTTCCCGCTTTGTCCCTGAATAATTCTGAGTCCTCCGGCATAGTACCCAGGACACCTGAGCCTTCAGAGTGCTAGTTTATAAGATTTGGAAAAGTTATGTGTACTTTTCCAAATGATTTAACCAGCGTTACTGACAGTTTCATTACTACTGTTATTATTATTATTATTATTATTATTATTATTATTATTATTATTATTATTTAACAAATCCTGTTTTCTGGGAGCTGGAGAGATGGCTGAGTGGTTAAGAATGTTTGCTGCTCTTCCAGAGGACCTGGGTCCCATTCCCAGTACTCACATCACACGGCTCACAACAGCCTGTAACTCCATTCCAGGAGATCTGATACCCTCTCCAGGACTCTGCCTACACGTGAATGTACATGTGTGTATATACGCCAACACAGACACATACATATACACGTAACTATTAAGGGGGAAAAAAAGAAATCCTACTAGCAGAGTGTTTACCAATGTGAATCACTCCATGTGTCCTTTAGACATGTTCACACGTCTAAAGTGGGTGGCACTATTCACTGTGAAGTTGCTATGGGGCTTCAGCTTTGTGTGAATAATAAGATAGATCCCTTCACATGGGAGGGAATTAGGTAACTTTGCAAGGTCAAGGGCGTTTAGAGGTTGAGGTTAAACCTTCAAATTATAAATTCTGAACAGTGCTTTGGCAGGCAAAATGATGCTCCTCTGAACTCCAATGTTGTTCTTGTCATGTACCCCAGACTTGTATGCTACCCCCTGTTTCCCCCCCTCCCCCCCATGGCAGAGGGACCTTGCTGTTATGAGGACATTAAAGATCTTGAGATGGGAGGATTATCTTGGATCCGGTGGGTCTAGTGTCTAGTGTATTCCCATGTCTCTATAAGAATCAAGCAGGAACATCAAAGGGAGCAGACATGATGGCAGGAGAGGGCCTGGGCGGAGGAATGCAGGCGGCCTGCAGATGCTGGAAAAAGCAGAGGGGATGTAGCCCCCATTCTTGATTGAAGGATTCCCAGGTTCTGGAAATGTAATATATAAATTTTGTTGCTCCAAGTCTCCAAGTTCCTGGTAATTTCCAGCAGCAATAGCAAAGCTGTATGAGTGCTGTTACCATGCCCACGCTGGCTCATATTGTGTTCACACTGTGTACTTACTGCAGGAGGCCCTCATTGTGTGTCTTCCTTCCTAGTTGCAATGTGTGGTGTTCCTTCCTACTGGCAGTGTTTGAATAAACTAAGAGAGAGAAAACATAATCTTGCTCCTCTAGCACATTCCTCCGAGGAAGATGAGGGGTTGTGGTTGGACTTTAATTTTGGCCTTTTCTGTAGCTTTTCAAGATGGGTGCTTAGTTTATTGTGTTTACATTTTCCTAGTCTTTTAGGATAGAACTGAGGCTATGCCTTTTCCTCTTTGTACAGCTTTGGCTTTTATAGCGCTTCTTCCTTAACAGATCATTCTGCTCGATGAAGCTACTGCCTCCATGGACTCCAAGACAGACACTCTTGTCCAGAGCACTGTAAAAGATGCCTTCAAAAGCTGCACAGTGTTGACCATCGCCCATCGCCTAAACACAGTTCTCAACTGTGACCTTGTCCTGGTCATGGAAAATGGGAAGGTGCAGGAAGTTCTGGCTGGCATAACCTCCTCAAAGGCTTCCCTGGTTAGGGCTGTGTGGTGTGGACTTTTTTTTTCTCTGAAAATTTCAGTTCTTCTCTGATTTTCAGGTGATTGAGTTTGACAAGCCTGAAGTCCTTGCTGAGAAGCCTGACTCTGCATTTGCGATGTTACTAGCCGCAGAAGTTGGATTGTAAAGGTCCAGTGGTTGATTTGAGAGGAGACAATGGATGTGTGAGCTTAGAAGCCTGAAGGCGGAATCACGGAATCACGCAGCCCCTGCCACAGCCCCTCCCACCCACCGAGCACAGGGTGAGCTGGGGCTGAGATGTGTTTCTGGCTCTGCTCAGCCCTTTTGATCACCTCCCATGGTGACCAGGGTTGGTTCTGGGTGGTGAAGAGTGCAGACAAAGCTGGTATGTTGGAAGCTGCCTCTCACCTCTGAAAAACCCCAAGGGTCCCTCATGAGTCCTCACCAATACTGCATAATGCCTGAGAATGGGAACAGTCTACCTTTCTGGGAAAAAAACAGTTAAAGCAAACAATGGGAAAATGCCCAAGGCTGGAGTTTGCAGAGGAGTCCTTACTTCTGTTGCTAGACAAGGCGAGAGAAAAGTTTTCTGTTTAACTTCATTTCACTTTTATCTTGACTATGTGACAAGCAGTAACTGCACAGATCCACAGCATGGAAGACTGACGATAGTGTTTGGCGTGAGATTTTTCAAAGAAATCATATTGTATGTTGCAGTTGATCTGTTAGAACAACCAGAAAGAAAGACACTGGGGTTTCTGAATAAATGACATTTTTATATCTTCTTTATCAGTCATTAAAATGCCATAAGAAACTAAATGACCCTGAATTGTGGCCTTGCAATTATTTTACTGAAGATGTCTCTATTTGAACTATTCCTTCTCATAGACCCTCACTGGCACCTCCTTTGGCTCAGTAACAAATCTGTACAGTTGTTTACCAACCTCAAGGTTTTCTGTGAGGACTATAGAAAAAACAAAACCCATTGGCCCCAGCATGAGAGCTGCTAACGTAGAGTGGACTTTGTTGTTCTTTGGGATTGAAGGCCCTCTTTGTATTTCTGATGAGGGTAAAAGGTTCATGTGATGTTTGAATGAGGTCTCCTATAATTCCTTTCCAGTCCTGTATAGCATACAGCAGTGTGGCCAGCAAAGCTCCTCCTAAGTCTTGATCACACACCACCCTGTTCCTTGACAACACGGGGAAAGGCAGTATCTGGCACTTCGGAACATTCAGGAAACACTCAGGACAGGCACGTTATGTCTGCCTTCCGAGTTCACTGACACGCTAGAAGATCAATCTGGGAATTTCTATCAGACAAACTGTGATGGTTCCTATTGGCTGCCAACTTGACGGGACCTAGAGTTATCTAGGAGCTAGTCTGCGAGGGACTTTCTAGATTAGGTTAGCCAAGGTGGGAAGACCTACCCTAAGTGTGGATGTTAGCCTGGGCTGGAAGCCTGGAGTGAAGGGAAAGGAGAGTGGTGGTGGTGGCTGGGCACCTGCCTTGGTCTCTGCTTCCTGACAGCAGACTCTGACTAGCTGCTTCACCTTCCTGCTGACTTCTGCTGCCATGCCTTCCTTGCCATGATGAGATGCATTCCCTTAAACTATTTGTCAAAATGAACCCTTGGTTCTTCAAGTTGCTTTGTCAATTTTTTACCCCCACAGCAACGAGAAAAGGAACTAATACAGAAAACTAGAACCAAGGAGTGGTACTGCTGCAGTAATAGGCCTGACCATGCAATTTGTAGGTTTTTGGGAGGAATGTGGACAAGTCTAGAATTTGGGGCTAGAGAAGCCCTACAGTGCTGGAAGTAGAGTTTGATGGGACATTCATCCTGGGGGGGATTTGGAAGACTAGAATACCAACATAAACGAGGACAGTAAAGGCCCTACATACGGAAGTTCAGAGAAGAACTGGACTAGAGGCTACTCACATGTTTATGGTAAATCATGCCGCTGCATTCTACTTGGGCCCTGAGGACTCAAGTGAGGCTGGACCTGAAAGTAATGGCTTGATTTGTTTAGTGAAAGGAATTTTAAAGAAAGGATGGCATTCAGGCTGAATTGAGAGAGCCTGAGCTGAAAATGGTATTGAAGGGGTTCCCTGCTCAAAAACAGCTGTCCAGGGAAGTGTTTCTCTAGGAACAACACACAGAGGCCTCTGCAAATGTGGTTCAAAGGGGTCAGGCTGCATCTTGAGCTGCTAGCAGAACCTGGTGATCTTGTTTGCATCGGTGGAAGTCAGGGAAAAAAATTCAAGGAGGAACCCTGCTTGTTGACTTGTTCTCTGTAGCTTTCTTATATAGCCTAGGCTGTGTGTCTAGGGAAGGCACACCCACAGTGGGCTGGACCCCTCCATGTCAATCATCAATCAAGATGGTCTCTAGCCAGTCTGACCAAGGCAATTCTATGACTGAGCTTCCTCCTTTCCAGGCAGCTCTAAGTTGTGTTAAAATTGCTAATAGAAACTAACCAGTACAACCATTGTATTTACTGAAGCTGTGTAACTTGCCCTTTTATTTTACAGGAGCTCAGAGCTAAGATATTACCTCCTTGCATCTCTGAAGAGCTAAACTTTGAACTTTTTAAACAGTGTTGTAATTGTCAAAAATTATGGGGACTTTTGAAGTTGAAATGAATGTGTCCTGCATGATGAAATGTTTGTGGGTCTATAGGGACCAAGGACCAGAGGAGTATCAGGTAGACAGGATAGATTTGTGTTGGTTAATATGGCAGGATCTAGAATCACCCAGGAGGCAAACCTTTGGGCATGGCGGTGAGGAGGAGTTTCTACACTGAGTTAATTAAGATGGAAGGACTCTAAATGTAGGTGGCACTGAGCCATGGGGTGGTGGGACTCTGGGCTGAACACAAAAGAGTAGTGGACTGAGCTCTACTTTAATATCTCTGCTTCCCGGCTTCTCTAACTATACTTTCTGTGTCCCTATGTCCCCACCATAATATGCCATATGCCTTAAGCTAATTCTTGCCAGGTATTTTGGTCACAACAATAAGAAAAGTAATTAATAATCTATCTAACAGCCAGTGTGGCAAAGGCTGAGCTGGTAAGGTTTATCTCCAACCAGACAGAATGCATCCTGTGTCTGGACAGGCTCCAGGCTAGACTAGAAGAGTCAGAACAGTTGGCCCCAGGTGGAGGTCCTAGTCAAGTGTGTTAAAACCCTTGTTCACCAATTACCACTGAATCCTGCCATCAGCAGATAGGTTACCCTCAAAGGGATGTGGCTGAAAAAGATAAAAGTGAGGAGATTCTTCTCATGGGCAGCATGGTGGCAATTGTGGACTTCCTGTGAAGGGACACTTACAGCATCAGACTTAGCCACAGGGCTCTGGACAGGTTGCATAGCTTCTTGGTAGATGCCCCGTAACTCCTTTGACATGACAATCTGATTTGGTTACCCCTGGTGGCCTTGCGTATCCAAGACAGCTATGAGGTGTGGATGAAGGGTACCTTCTTTTCTACTAACTTGGAGTCAGACTAACAATCTGTCTGTGATTTCAAGGAAGGGTTCTCACAAGGATGAGGGCAGCTGCTCACTGGGACTTTGAAAGGGATGACTCACTGCCCTTTCTGCCCCTGACTTTGAAAAGGATGACTCACTACCCTTTCTGCCCCATATTTCCTGTTGTGCTGGCAGGAGAGAATACTGCTACTGATCCTGATGTTTGTGGAGCCTTTGCAGCGTGTCAGACACCACGAGAAGCAGTTTTTCATGAATCATTTCACCTAATCCTTACCTCACCCTGAGGAATGCAAGATGAGGCTTCCTGAGGATAGGGGTTTAACTGCAGGCACACAGGAAGGAAGGCGCAGAGATGGCATTTGGGACCCTAGCCAATCTGGTGCCTGAGGCTTTGCTTCTAAACCCTCTACCCCATTTTCCTGGGCCTGCTCAGGGGCGGCAACACTCGTCAGAATCACATTGGGGAGAGAGACTTCTGGAAACCTGGTTGTTGGTATATAGAACGTGGGAGGGTGTCAGTGAAACCCTTGACCTCCACTTACTGCCACTGAAACGTCATCCAGGGCTGGGGTATATTGATTGGTCTGTGGTCTTCAAAGTAGGTGTGGCTCATTGATCGTTACCATTGATCTACCTACAATGGTCTGAAGTTAGTCCTTTATATGTTGTAACCTAATGAGAAATACATCAATATGAAGAACCTTGGCTTGTAGGGGGAGATCATGAGAGCAGAGACCCCATGAGTAGGATCAGTGTCTGTACATGAAAGGGTTGACAGAGTTTGTTCACTACTTTAACCATGGAAGACATACGAAAGCCAACATCCATTAAGTAGACAGCCCCATCTGGTACTATTTCCCAGTTCCAGAACTATGAGCAATCAATTTCTGCTGTTAACAAATTACCCTGTCTATGGTGTTTTGTTATATAACCAGTACTTAGTGTAATACTACTGATGGGGAAACCGAGGAACTTAGACAGTGACCAAGATTACCGTGCTATTGGAATTTGAATAGCAAGCAGGTTGTCTCTAAAGCCTGTTTTATTAATTGCTTTTCTTACTGCTGCTTCAAAACACATGGCAGGAACAGTTTAAAGGAGGAAAGACTTATTTGGGGGTCACAGAGTTGGAGGGTCTATCACTGCGTGTGAGGTGCAGTGGAACATCTTAGTTCACCTCATAGCAGGCTAGGAAGCAGAAAGCAGGACAGGAAGTGAATAGCCAGGGATGATACATCCCCAAAGACCCACCCTAGTGGCCTACTTTCTGTGGCTTTGTCCTTGCTTTCTGAGTTACTTGAACCTTCCATCCGAGAGGACCAACAGTTCAAACCATGAACCTATGGGGCGCATTACTTAGCCACGTTAAAGTATCTGCACTGTTAAATTCCATTTGATATTGCTGGAAACCTGAGACTTTCAGGGGACAAAACAGTGTTCAGGCTTGAAAAGCCTATGTATTAGTCAGATTTAGTTATTCTGCAGTAACAAATGACCCTATATCCAGATGGCTTGTTTCTCCTTCATGTGACCTGTCTATCAAAGGTCAGAGATGGTTGGTTGTCCTTTATCCTCTTCACTGTTGTGAGTCAGGCTGTCAGAGCAGATTCTGCCTGGAATAGTGTCAGTTTTGTGGCAGAGGACAGGCTAGTGTGGTAATCAGGAACAATGTGTGTGCCACCTTAGCCCACATTTCATGGGTAACAAGTCATGTGGCCACTCCTATGTTTGACAAT